ATCTACACATCCGAGTACAGAACCAGAGCTCGAAACCTATCCAACTGCAGAGAGGTGTAAGACAGGGTGACGTTATATCCCCGAAACTCTTCACCGCTGCTTTGGAAGACGTTTTCAAGCTACTGGACTGGAAAGGATACGGTATTAACATCAATAGCGAGTACATCACTCACCTTCGATTTGCCGACGATATCGTCCTTACGGCAGAATCGCTGGAGGACTTAAGCACTATGCTCAATGACCTCAATAGTGCCTCCCAACGCATAGGTCTTAAGATGAACATGGACAAAACAAAGATCATGTTTAATGTCCATATCACACCTATGCCGGTAGTTATTGGGAGCACTATGCTCGAAGTTGTTGACGAGTACGTTTACCTGGGACAAATAGTCCGACTAGGTAAGTCCAAATTCGACCGAGAGGTCAATCGACGGATTCAACTCGGCTGGGCAGCGTTCGGGAAATTACGACACATCTTCTCGTCAGGTATACCTCAATCTCTGAAAACTAAAGTGTACAACCAGTGCGTGTTGCCAGTGATGACTTACGGATCAGAGACGTGGTCCTTCACTGCTGGCCGTATGAGGACGCTCAAGGTCGCTCAGCGAGCTATGGAGAGGGCTATGCTCGGAGTTTCTCTGCTTGATAGACTCAGAAATGAGGATATTCGCAGTAAAACCAGTGACTGACATAGCCCAACGGATTAGTAAGCTGAAGTGGCAATGGGCCGGCCATATAGCTCGAAGAACCGATAATCGATGGGGAAGAAAGGTTCTCGAGTGGCAGCCTCGTACCGGTACGCGTAGTGTAGGGCGACCCCCCATTAGATGGAGTGACGACCTGGTAAGATATGCAGGAAGTCGTTGGATGCAGGTGGCTCAGGACCGTGCTTTGTGGCATTACTTGGGGGAGGCCTATGTTCAGCAGTGGACTTGTGAAGGGCTGTGATGATGATGATGATGATGAACACATCTAGAAAAGCTAAGGAATTGTTTGCCTATTAACTCCATTGTGAACTGAATTTTAGAATTTATAGAGTTAAGATGGTCTAAAAATGCAGTTACTTTATCTAAAGGTAGAATTGTGAAAGTGTCGTCTACGTACCGCTTGTAGAAACTTGGATTTATGGGAGAACTAAGCAGGGCTTTCTCCTCAAAGTCTTCCATGAATATGTCGGCGACAATGGGAGATACAGGTGAGCCCATCGCCACACCATCTACTTGCTTGTAGAACTCCTCCTTCCACAATAGGTAGCCAGATGTAAGGCAGTGTCTGAGTAATACTGCATATTCTACGGGCATGTTGTTTTCTTCCAGCCTTCTAGTTACAATTGAAATGCAGTCTTCAACAGGTAAGCATGTAAACAATGACTGCACATCAAAACTGACCATAGTTTCGTTGTCTGCCAGATGTAGGTCTTTAATCTTGCTGACAAAATGATAGGAATCCTTTATGTGTGCTCTTGTATGTCCCCTGAGTGGTGAGAGTATTTTCGCTAAGTGTTGAGCCAATCTGTAAGTTAGTGAATCGATTTGGCTCACTATGGGACGTAATGGAGCATTGGGCTTGTGTATTTTTGGTAACCCATACAATTTTGGTGATTTGGCGCACGTAGGTATTATCCATTTTACGTCCAGATTTAATTTTTCGGAGTGTTTCTTTATGAGGTCATTAGTTGTTTTTAGTGTGCTATTTGTTGGGTCGTTTTTAACCTTTTTTATAAGTACTTACATCCGACAAAAGTTCTTGTGTTTTAGAATTATAATCTGACGTATCCATGACTACCGTGGCGTTTCCCTTATCTGCGCGGAGAATCGTAAGTTCGTGTTTATTGGGTAGGTTCTTTAACGCTATAAATTCGTCTTTGGGAAGATTCGGTTTAGGCACTGAACATCGACGTAACATAGACGAGATGTCTTGACGTATTGCCTCCAAATCTTCTTTCCGCATATTGTTTTTAAATAAACAGTCCTCGACACTACAGATGATTTCTTCGTACGGTAATTTGCGGGGTGTAATTGCAAAGTTGAGGCCTTTGGATAAAACCCTAATTGTTGCATCATCCAGTGTTTGTTTTGACAGATTATAGAGCGCGATTAATCTATGATCTGTGTTTGTCAATGGTTGCGTTCGGTTCTGGCATTGATTCAGATGTTCGACATTTGACTTGTTCGTTAATTTTTGATATTTTTCTATATGTTTGTTTTTGCATTCATTATATTTACTAATTTCGCGTTTATTTAATGTTTCCATGCAAAAATTATAGTCAAACGTCGTTAAAACTTTCTTCAATTCACTGGATGATGTGTCTATGGATTTGTTTATGTCATATAGATCGGAGCGTTTTTGTTGAATTACCGTCCGTAACAACTTTTTATTCGCCTGATTTAAGATCTTAGCGCTTCCTCGAATGTCCTTTTTGGTTGATATTTTAACACACGTAGGAATGAGATTATGGTCACGGCATCTCTTCAAGAAATTTAAGGCTGTTAGATATCTTGCGCGCTTGGTCTTTAGATCTTCTAATCGGCGTATTTTATTTGCAATTACCAGTCCGTACTGGTTTACATAATGATTTCTTATATTTACGCGAACACTACACATTGAAATAATACTAGTTTTTACGGAATTTATCGCGTATATTTTAACTTTTTAAATACCCGACGTTTCGAACGCTTTACAGCACTCATGGTCACGGGCAGGACTGAGATGTTCAACGTCCATATGTCATAGTTAACCGCGGTTACCATAGATTAAAATTTAACTTTTGTTCATACTGCATAGATCGGAACAAAAGTTAAATTTTAATCTATGGTAACCGCGGTTAACTATGACATATGGACGTTGAACATCTCAGTCCTGCCCGTGACCATGAGTGCTGTAAAGCTTTCGAAACGTCGGGTATTTAAAAAGTTAAAATATACGCGATAAATTCCGTAAAAACTAGTATTATTTCAATGTGTAGTGTTCGCGTAAATATAAGAATACGATAACGTAGTTTTAGGTTATATAATAATCTTTATGACTTTTAAACATATTTAGATCAAATTTAAACGTATATTTATATAGTTCTGTAGTGAAATTTAAAGTAACAATTGAATTTTATACGTAATACCAGATAAAATGTACTATACTTACGAGTGAAATGATATTTTTAATTTTAATTTAATTTTTTTTAAATAGAATATTAACAATGCTATAAACATTGCTAATATTTCCCTTAACCACTCGCGGTAAGGTTAAATTGCTTGTGTTACGAGTGGTTCACGCCAGTAGTCAAGTGGCGGATTCAAACCCACCACCTTTTTGATTTCGCGGTGCGGGCCCTACCATTAGGCTACTGTCGCTTCCGGTGAGTTTACGTTCCCTATCACTTTTACATCCTAAGACACTACATCTAACCATTTTTTAAGTTTTTGATTGTTCTAAGAACTGAACTGAACACTTTTTTACTCACTTAAGCCAACTTGTAAACTCCTTAGATCGCTACGAACTGTCAAAGTTTGTTTAGCAAAGTGTAGTTTGTTTGCTCTGTCTACGGCAATATAGCAAAATAGAAAAGAATAGCAAATCTCATGACTTTCTAACCGATTTTGAAAGACAGGTTGGCTAAAATAAATGCTTGGTTTGCGTTCTAAAATGTAATTTTATTTTGCCGTTTGTCAAACATGTTTCTTCCAGATTCTATAATTAAAAAAAAGGTTAAGTTTAACTGCAGCAAACATTTTCTTGAGAAATATAAAAGAAAAAGTAAAAGAAAAACAATGTAATAAAAAGGAGCTAGTTCTACATTATTTGTACCAGTAAGTATAATATTGTAATAATAAGACTACACAAAAATTTTACTTCAAAAAAACTTATGATAAAAATAAGATTTTTATACATAATAAGCTGTAGTACATTAAAGACACCCGCACATCAGGATCAATATTCATAGCATCACGCTATTTTTCACAAGGGGTTGAGTGGAACTTCAGATTATATTCCCAAGTCACAATGACAAAACTTAGCCGAGTAAGGTATAGATATTAAGTTATGCTCCTGAAGTAACGTTAGACACCCGCGCATGAGACGCGCAGTTCTGTGTGCCAGGATAGTATAAATTCGATAGTATTTGATACTCACTACGCACAATACCCGATTCATGCTTGATGGCTGACGACAGTGTGCCGAAGGCTTAGTAGCGTAGTTCATCGCCTACAGTGTTAGTCGTAAGGAAGAGGAGCTCGTGGCTAAGTAATAGCTGCGCGGATTAACAGATCTTCAAGATTAAGCTGCACTTGCCGCGGTCAGTCCATGGATGGGTGACCGTTTTAGATGACCGATGTAGTTTGAAAGAATAAAGAGCATATGTGTATTCTTAGACACTAGGAGTGCTTTAATATCTCCTGCGTATTTGGTTAAACACTGTTTAATATCATTAAAGTTTTAAGTTCATGCACCGATATGATAGTTTATTATTATTTATAGTTTATTATTATTTAGACTGATGATAGAGAGCCCCATAAATATATTGGTCTTTATACAGGCAGGTACAATCTTATTTTACTGATTCCTATATTTAAGTCGAATGTTAATAAACTTCTATAATGTATTTAATTATTAATTGTTTGTAATTTTTAAACTACTTTAAATATGAAAAATAAAGCAGCCATTACTTAGTACTTCGTGTCCCCGTTGTGGCAAATCGAAACCTCCATGGTAACAACAATCAACAACAACAACTAGGTTCAGAAGGTCTAGAACCCAGAGCTGGAAAGTCATTTAATAAAAAACAACAAAAAAAAAACAACAACAACATACGTCAAAATGCGTCAAAATCATTAAATGTCAAAATGTCTAAATCAAGGAGCAAGAACAGAGAATGAATTGAAATAAACGGGCGAATTTGTTATTGATAATGATAGTCTCATATTAAATAGTTTCTTATTTATTTTACCTTGAAGTTAGGGCGAGCAAGTTGTTTATCTTAATATATAAAACATAAATGTTATACCAAAATGTATTTTCCAATAGGATGGCCAAAAGTACTGAAGAACTTGGGATCAGATGGACAGGCAATCAAACAAATAGTTTCAAATAGGGATAAAATTTTGCTTGTGTCATTAAATGATGATTCGTTTGTTATATGGTTTTGTAAGGTAAAGCAGTTAACCTATAATTCATTATATATACTATCATAATTATTCACAAAGAATTCATAACTTGTATCTGTGTGAGTGATTGCTACATTTTTCATGTGGAAAAAAATATTTATAGCACTTAAGCCTCAACTTAAATTTGTTTAAGCATTCTCACTGCTGCAATCATAATTATTTTGGCTCATTAGTTGCCTGGTGCCCCAATAGTATTGTATGTAGTACTAGGAGCATAAATGTATTCAACACAAACAATTGTTTGGTTCTTCAATAAATACAAGTCCTAATTTTACAAATGTTGATTGGATTGAGCAGCCTGCGGGAAATAAGGCATTCTGAACTTTTGATTAAAACTACACATCATAATCATTACAGCCCTTCACAAGTCCAGTGCTGAACACAGGCCTCCCACAAGCAATGCTACAAAGCATGTTCCTTAACCACCTCCATTGACTTCCTGCATGTTACACTTACCAGGTCGTCACTCCATCTAGTGGGCAGTCTCCCTACACTTTGCCTATCTGTATGAGCCTGCCACTCAAGAACCTTTTTTCTGTATCTGTTGTTGGTTCTTTGAGCTACATGGCCAGCCCATTGCCACTTCAGCTTATTAATCTGTTGGGTTATGTTGGTCACTCTGGTTCTACTGCGGATATCCTCATTTCTAAGTTTACCATGCAGAGAAACCCTGAGCATAGCCCACTCCATAGCTCGCTGAGCGACCTTGAGCATCCTCATACGGCCAGCAGTGAAGGACCACTACAACTACACTACACATTTAATAAAAAATTAAAACCCATTTCAAAAACTGAAAACAATGAAATTTTTTCACATTGTATTTGCACTGTGTGGTGTTAATATAGAAAAAAAAAATTCATATTTAAACTAATTAATATCACAAAGTCAAGCAATAAGGACGCCAATTGCATTTTTTTTATTTGTATTTTTTTCTCTTATTTATCAGTGTACAATAAAGTATGTTTAATTCGCTCATTCATTGAAGGCTTCAAGGTAAAAAGTTAGAATGTCATATAGTGACCATGAAAATTTTATCTCCTATTTTTCCACCATAAGGAGTGGAATATCATTAGGAGTCCTTGAGGCATTATTGATAGCATTTGATAGCATATTTAATAAAAAAAGGATAATTTGAGTTGGTTCAGCCTTTCACAAGAAAATAGGGGACATGCATAAACAATATACACATTGAATATAGAGCTCCCTTTTTTATTTAGATAATAATAAAAGAATACTAGTATTTAAACTTTTTGAAGTAGGTGATATTTTGATACATTAAATGAAAGTAATTTCACAGATTTTATCACCCAGAGTTAAAAAGTAAAAAAATTGATATGTAAATTTTTCTAAATCTTGAATTTTCGAAAGTTAGTTCTTCACATTCACACAAATTCATTACATTTTCATAATCATGTGTATGGGGTTTTAATAACTTTTTTATTTATACCAATGCATGACCAAATAGTTGTAACAAAACATATGTAATTTATTATTTAGAAACAGAAAAACCTGTGCAAAAATATTTCAAAGTAAATTAGAATAAATAGTAGATTTTTTTTATAAATTTAAATTGAAATATTTTCAAAGTTTGAATTTTTGGAAATATTTAAATTTAGGGTCTATATGGCTAAGAACTCGCAGAACAATATTAAACCATGCCCGCACCAGTAGATACATTGAGAGTTTATTTCAAAACTCACAAGACCGCAGTATTGTGCATATAGTCATATACCTATAATTCTTTAATTTATGTGTATTGTGGTCCCCTTACTGCTGCTGCAGTGGTGTGTTATATATCACTTTATGGGAGAAATTGCTAAATAATTCTCTTAATACTAACCTAATGCATTGAATCCTGCTGATTTTTTAAGCACAGGAAGATGTGACTAAATTTAAACTTTATCTGTGCGAGAGTATCAACACAGCCCTTACCTTTTTGCACAGCGTGGTGTATATTGGTTAATCTTCCAAGCAATGTTTCCAACTTTACCAAGAATGTGACATTTTCTCGAGCGGCTACTCAGAATGAACACTGATGGAATTATTTAGTATACAAATTGAATGTATATATATAAGAACAAAAAACCTTTTACAATAATCAATTTTTTTTAAATTGTAATAAATTTATACATTTTATAAAAAGTAAAAATGAATTTATAGTTCTTTCAACTAGTAATTTTTTTTCACCCTTACCATCGAATGTTTTATGTCGCAATAGTTTTATCAAAAATTTAATTTTCTTGTTTCATTCTTTTATAATTCTTTTTTTCAGCCAACTGTTCCAATTGTGTTTCATAAGCGAAACACAGAATCCCTTCAGAGGCTTGGTATCAATATAGGAGTGGAATGGAAACCTGATTCCTCAATGATATGTATTTCGGTATGGTTTTTATTACTGCCTTTTTTACTTTTTTGTTAAGATATACAAACAAATATACAAAGGTATAAAATAAAAGTGTTATTAAAAAGAGTATAGTATATGTACATTCATTTTCTAAATTATAAAACTAAAGAACTATTTTAAAAAACATGTAACTTCTGACAATAGACTTTCTAAGTGTTGTTCAAGCTGGAATCCTGTCCAATAATACCCAAAATTTTATTATTTCAAGATTTGGTAACGGATTGGTGATAATTAGTGACTTAAAATTTTTTTGTGTCAAAATAGTTTAGGAGATATAAGTGGTTTTTTGGGAGGATACTTGCTTGAATTCATGCTAGCAGCCTCTTTTTGAAAATACTGTTTGAAATTGACTGCATCTGAGATGTGATTCCTATTTTAAGATTTAGTGACCAATTGATGACCTTAATATATGTTGTAGATTTGTTGATAGAAAGGTTATATACTTGGTAGAGCCATGCCGCAGCTATATTAGTAGTATAGTGGTAGCATGAATGTGTCGGCTCAACCGGGGAAGGACCACACTCTCATAGAATACCAGCATGAAATAGAAGCTTAATACTGCTGTTTCGTATGGTGAGTGTAGAGAACCGGAGACCCTATTTACTGGAAAAGAGGCATTCCATCTTTGTCCTCATGGGTGACAATGCATCTGCATTTTGATTCATAATCGAGGATGTATGTAGATGTCTATGGGCCACAGTATCCACGTACCATCAGGTGGACTGTGTGCTTGTTTGTAACTCTTATTTAATAAAAAAAAAACAAGATTTGAAACATATTGCTTGATATTTCCTAAAATATTAAGTCACAAATTCTTACCAATTCCTCACTAAATCTTGACATAACAAAATTTAGGATATTGTTGGAGAGGATTCCAGCTTGAAGGACACCTTTCTATCATTAATGAAAATATGTTGAATGATAATATTATAAATTCTCTCAATTATGAGAGAAGGTTTTGTCATAGAGTGATAGGACACCATTGCTCTGTCATACCATATGAAAGGCCAATTGGGTTCAGACCATGCTTTCCAATTTTCCTGAGATAAGTATCACTAGGTCATCTGCATATCGTGTAGGAAAAAGTAGTTGGCGGATAATTTCCAAAGTAGTGGTCATTTGGACTTAATGCAGTATATTACATTGTGTACCATAACTTTTGGTATAACAAAAAAAATGTGATGTTTTGTTACATGTAAGTAATTATTTGATACATTATGTTTTAGCACCAACTTTAGAAGATATTATATCGAAATTTGCTACTTTTAAGCAGTTTTTGATTTTTAGTTGAATTGATAAATGAACTTATAGTCCACCTGATGATAGTAAGTGGCTAGTGTAGTCTATGGCCACCCGCAATCAACTTAAACAAAGAATGCTATGAATGATTTGTCACCTCTGAGGACGTAGATGGAATACCTCACATGCTATAATGATACTGGCTCTCTATGCCTTTCAAACCGGAACACAGCAGTGCACAGCAGAGATAGATAAGAGGCTTGTATAGGTCCTGACTCCTAGGCAGAATAGGAGTCCTACCATAGAAAGTAGATGTTCTTTGTATTTGTATTTATTTGTGTTTGTATGATTTGTCATCTCTGAGGACGTAGATTGAATAACTCACATGCTATAATGATACTGGCTCCCTATGCCTTACAAACTGGATTACAGCAGTGCACAGCAGAGATAGATAAGAGGCTTGTATTGGTCCTGACTCCTAGGCAGAATAGGAGTCCTACCATAGAAAGTAGATGTTCTTTGTGTTTGTATTTATTTGTTTGACATGTTATATACTATTTCAATATAAAATTTCAGACATCAGAAGGTCATTTAATAATTTACAATGTCGAAGTGCAAAGTGAGCAGACAGCATATAATCAATTTGATCCACCCACGGCGAGTCTGCGAAGGGATTCTGCAGAGTTGTTTGTAAAGGAGATGATACCATCACTTAAAATTACTCTGGTAATTAATATCTTTGTTACTCTTTCTTATAAAGTAGGCAAAACCAAAATATTTTAAACTTACATTTTTAAAATAAAACCCGTTTTTATGAGATATTGTAGTGATTTCTTCCATTACTTTATCCCCTTGAGGGAATGACATCATTGAAATATAATTTTAGTTTCTGGCTACTGTCCTACATTAAAATAGGGTATACATTTTAGGTCAGTGTCTTTATCTTTCATCCGCTTAAAATGTGATTATTGTGCCCTACTTTATTTGAAATTTAGTGCATGCCATATGTTTATTATTTTTCTGTAATATGTATTCACAGAGGTAAAGAAAACATTTTCGCCATATCATACTTGTGTGAATTTCGTCTTTTTATTGTTATGGTGAGCTTGCACTGTGCTTTAATGTATTTAAGATGTGAAGCTATGTCATAATAGTTGTTATTTATTCAGGATTGAATAAATCTGATAATACTGGATTAAAGTTTTTTGATATTAAAATTTTTAAAGCATTGTAATAATTTTGCAGTTTAAAGAAATTTTAGTATGGGATGGACAAATTACACGGATGTGTTGTATATCTGGTACCGAGATCCTAGTGTGTACTACTCGCGCTCATCTGCTTCGTTACCGGTGGGATGGTACACAGAACAGAGACTACTGCCTGGACCTGGGGCGGATTCCTTTTTCGATAAATCAACAGGTTTCTAAAGGTACATTCTTTTAAGTGGCTGAAATTTAAAGTATGTTAAGAAATTCTCTCTTTGCCATGTTTTTTTTATATAGGATAGGGTGACAAATAAGCACACAGTCCACCTGATGATAAGTGGTTGCTGTGGCCCATAGACATCTACATCTATCCTAGATTACGAATCAAAATGCAGATGCGTTGTCACCCATGAGGACTAAGATGGAATGCCTCGATTCCAGTAAAAAGGGTCTCTGGTTCTTTATACTCACCATATGAAACACAGCAGCATTAAGCTACTATTTTACGCTGGTATTCTGTGAGAGCGTGGTCCTTCCCCGGTCGATCAGACCCATTCATGCTACAACCATACTAGTAATATAACCGCAGCCCTACCATCCCTACCATCCAAGTAAAGGGATCGATCACTCCATTTTGCTTTATAGGTGTTGTAATAGGCGCTATTCAATCATATATGTTAGATTATACAAATACGCGTGACGGGAAATAGAACAGAGATACTTTGGGGTACTGCAATCTGCCGTCTGCCAAATGTGGCTTACCACAATCCCTTACAAACATGGAAGAAGCTCATCAGCATCAGTGAAATATAACAGTGTGATGAAGAGAAATAAAAAAGTAAAATGGCTTAGGAATTTATAATGTATAAATTAAACATTTTAGTATTAACTCGAAGCTTGTTGAGTCTGTAATAATATGAATAAGTTTGCACAGGTGTGACGTCAGTTTTGTACAACATGCAAACAAGATAGAGAGAATGTCCACAGTAAATTTGATTTTAGAGTGGAGAATGGTGTGGTGAATATAAATAAAAATACACTTTGGTGATTGAATAAATCTAGTTTTTTGTTTATTCTCGCGTTTATTTTCAACTTATTTTTAATTTGCGATGTTTCCGATGCTCTGCAGAACTTATTAGTATGATGAACTGATATGTTCAACGTTCATAAGTAGGACGAGTATTAACTAACTTTAAACATAAAAGTACCGCATCAAATATATTTAAAAATATTTTACTCTACATATTCAATTCTTTTGAACATTTAGACACGGATTGGATCCAACTTTGTATATCATTTAACCCGCAACATAAGACAAGTATAAACAATAAGTTCGTATTGCTCTTGTAACTGTGAATGCAGAGCTTGCAGCTTACAACAGTATGCACAGTCCTTAGTATTTTTATGGCCTCATTATTGTATTTACTAATTTGCTTCTCCTTTTCCAGCTGAACCCATCCTTGAAGATAATACACATGTAAATGACATTGAGTACTCTCCACTTGTTTGTGGCTTCGGGATTACACTCAATGATGGGCGCGCGGCTTACCTTACTGCACCTAACCTCAAATTTGATCCAAATGTAAGCTTTTAACAAATGCTTATGCAGTAGTTATTTATGTATGAAACATGAATATTTTATGTATCAAATTAATAGATAGATCCACGTTTACATAATATGCGCGTCTTGTGTAATATCCACCAACTATAAAAATTATATGAATGTTTGTGCACTACTTGACATGATCGGAAGGGAATAAAGCTATCATGCAGAAATTAGGTTATTATCGCCAAGAACTGACGAATAGGTCATTAATTTAGTGCTATTCGAATAAGAATATAGTAATTTTATAATATGCGTATTTTTACCGTACTTACCATATAATAAATATATTCGGCCACTATTGATGAGATTTGGAAGAGGGTTTACAATTTTATTAAATAATATACCTATTCTATTTTATTACATTCTGAAGTAAAAACTTTAGAATCGTTGTTTTTTTATCTCAGGACACAAACAATTACATAATAATGCTCAAACTAAATAATAATTTACAAATATTATTAGTTATCACTTATTATGTAACCCGCACCGTTATCCATAAAGTAATATTAAATTGTAACATTTATTGTTTGTAAAACGAAGAAAATTGCTTGTAACGATTCTAGAAGCTCACTATTAAATGATTCTAGAAGCTCACTATATTTATTTTATAAGGGTTCCATACTTGCATTGCATATTCAATTTGTGGCCTGATAAGTGATTTAAAAATTAGTAAGGAAAGTATCTTTTAAAACAATTACATTTTCATGCAACAATTCCGTACATTTGATACGCTTTGTTTGTTATGGAGCTAATATGAACATTAAAGTTCAGCTTTGAATCGTAAAGGATGCCTAAATCTTTTATTAATTATATTTTTTCTAAGGGATTGTTAAGAAAATAATATATGTACATATACATAAACACTCACGCATGTCACCCAGAGGGGTAGGCAGAGACTACAGACTTCCATTTGGCACGATCCTGATACACCTCTCTCGCCTCCTTCACATCCATACACCTAGGCATACATGCTCGTCGGTTAAGGGTACTCCTAATTTGGCCCGTTTTTAATAAATCGCCAATTTGGTCGATAAATTTTCGCCTAGGACGTCCCTTTCCGACTCTGCCATTCACTTCTGCAACATAAATTTTCTTTGTCAGTCTTTCCTCATTCATTCTTTCCACATGACCAAACCACCGAAGCATTCCTTTCTTAATCCTGGTCACAACATCATCTTGCACTCACTCTCTTCTCCACACTCTTCTCTTATTACACAATTTCTTACCCTGTCATTCAGATTCAGCCCTAACATACTCCTTAACGACCGCATTTCTACTGCGTTCATTCTACTCTCGTGCTTCTTCTGCCACACCCAACTTTCACTACCATACGTTAAAGTAGGGACCAACACAGCATTGTGAATTGCCATGCGTGCCTTTTTCGACACATTTTGACTCTTCACAATATAGTGTAGGGCCCCATTTACTCTATTTCCCGCATTCATTCGTCGTTCTATATCCTTATCATATTTCCCATCCCTGCTAAATACGCAGCCCAAATATACAAACTCGTCTACTTGCTCGATCAACTCCCCTTCTATTCTTATTTCACAAATCGTTTTACTTTCTTCTCTTTCAAAAACCATAACCTTCGTCTTACTTGCGTTCACTTTCATACCCCTTTCTTTTAATGATCTGTTCATTAATGTGACCATCATTTGCAACTCGGCCGCCGACGACGCAAGGATAACTTGATCATCGGCGTACAAAAGGCATTTGACGGTTAACTCACCCATTCTTAGTCCGCATTCTTCAACTTTCAAATTTTGCAAACAACTGTCCATAAATAGGTTGAACAGCCACGGGGAAGCCACACAGCCCTGTCTGACACCTTTATGGATGTCAAACCAGTCCGAGTAGACCCCGTTGATCCTAACACAAGCACTAGAGTCCCTATAAAGAGACTCCAATGCCTGTATCAAGCCTGCGCTCAACCCAAATGATTTCAGTGTTTGCCATAGCACATCCCTATCAACTCTGTCATAGGCCTTTTCCAAGTCCATGAACGCACAAAAAACCTTTTGGTTTTTTGTCCAAAAAACTTCTCCGCGATCATGCGCATGGAAAAGACTTCATCTGTACATCCCATTCCCTTTCTAAATCCCGCTTGCACATCCCACATTTTTCCATCAGTTTCTTTCATGACCCTTTCAATCAGTACTTTAGCATACAGTTTTCCCACAATGCTAAGAAGGCTGATGCCACGGTAGTTTTTACAGTCCTGCTGCGACCCTTTTTCTCTATACACTGGGACTATCACGGCTTTGCACCAGTCTACCGGTACCCGCTTCAGTTCCCAGCATAAATTAAACAAGGTGTGCAGCAGGCCTGCCACCACTTCCTCTCCAGCTCTTAGCATTTCGAGGAAACTCTATCATATCCGGCAGCCTCACCTGCTTTCATGCTTTTCATTGCTTTCATTATTTCATCTATACTTATCTCGCTACCTCTTTCCTCTTCTTTCGGAGTTTCTACTTCACTTAGTACACTCGTTGTCTCCTCACTCATAAACACGCTTTCAAAATATTCCTTCCATCTCTTTAAACTCAAAACTTCATCATTCAGAATATAGCCATTCTCGTCTCTTATAGCATTCATCATAGGCTGTTTTGAATGTCCCCTGGCAGTTCTTACAAGTTTCCAGAACATTTTAATATTTGCCTGGAAATTGTCCGATATTCTTCTATCATTCTTATCCGTTCTTTCTTGCTTTTTTCTTTCAACTACTTCTTTTACTCTCTTATTAAGATGTCTGAACACTGCCTTTTTTCTTTCAATATCGTCATTCGTACCGCTAGAATTACCAGCCTTTGTTGCTAGTAAATCTAGCCATGCTCTCTTCTTTGCTTCAACTTCCATACTTATCTCATCATCCCACCATAACGTATTATTTTTCCTTTCATTCTTCCTCTTACCAACACCACATACTTCGGTAGCTGCATCCACTAAACCTTTCTTTACATTTTGCCATACATTCTCCAAGTCTAACTCCTTCATACATAATTCATCCAAACCGCTTATATTTTCTTTCAGTCTACATTTGAACTTGTTTTTCTCACCTTCATCTTGTAATCTTTCTGTTCTAATACGCTGTAACGCAGTGGTAGACACAGATGACCGATGGCGCTAACGCCTGAATAGACCATTAATTCGGCATAAAACCAAATAATGATCCGTTCCTACGTTAGAACCCCGGTAAACCCTTGTATCTACCACTGCGCCCCTCAATCTTTCATCCACAATTATGAAATCTATCATGCTTCTATCGTCACCTCTTTCCCAAGTATACATGTGAATCTTCTTGTGGCGAAAGCAAGTGTTCGTCACAAAAAGATTCTTTTCCATACATACGGTGAGGAGACTTTTACCATTCTCATTTATCTTTCATCACCAAACGTTCCCAATATCCTTTCATAACCAAGCCTCCTCACCCCAACCCTTCCATTAAAATCTCCTAGCATAATAATATTTTCATTTCCCTTACACTTCATTAACACCATTCTTACCATTTCCCAAAACTGCTCTCGGATATAAGTGGGCTTAGACATGTCTGGGGCGTAGACCCCTAACACAAACAACTTCTTTAAGCCCACTTTCATTCGTATCCATAGCAGTCTTGGGCTTACACATTCATACTCTTTCACACATTGGCCCATTCTTTCTGAAAGGATGATACCTACTCCCTGGCATGCCCGCTCGATCTCGTCTACACCAGACCAGTATGCGGTATACATGCCATGTGTAGTGACATCCTTCCCCTTCCTTTTCGTCTCATTTACACATAACACATCTATTCCTCTATCATACATCATATCGCATACTTCATCCATTTTATCATTCATTGCCCCACATACATTCAACGTAGCCAGACGGGCCTCTGCAATCCACTTTTCGCCTCTCCGGGAGACAGAACGTGACGGGTGGCGAACCTCGTCGCCGGTTTTCCTCCCGGAGATTCTTCGCACTCCTGCCCCATTAAAGGGGCGCCGGGAACTCGGGGCCATTTCTTTTATATGGTTCCTCATGGTGCGAATATGGGTAGAGTATTTTACGCCGCTACCACGGCGTGGAGCCGAGTCTGTGCTATCGGCTTGTCGCTCATTTAGCACCACCCGGGGGACACGTGTAGGGTGGGCCTAGGAAGAGGTGGTCAAAGCCTACGGACGCGAGCGACTTATCCCCCAATATATGTAATTGTAGGTTTTTACGTTTTCGGTGAAAAAGATTTACATTTAGGGATGCTCAATTGCATTTTATTGATATGACAGTAGTCGGATAACCGGTCAAGATTTTCCTGTAGCTTCTCACCATCTTTAAGGGCTTTACACTTAGTTAAACTTTCAGGTCGTCTGCATGTAACAAAAAATTTATATTTTTAAAGCAAGGCTGAATATCTTTTATATATAATGTTAAGAGTTAGAGCAACAGACCCAGTATAGATCCCTGTGGTACATCTGAGGATACTATTTTCTCGCTAGAGAAAAATCCATTAACCACAACTTTTTGGGTCTTATTAATAATTTACGATAAAACGAAAAATCGATACTAAAAGAGACAAATATATACATGGATTTAGCCTAGGAGAGAATGAGATAGAATACAGTAGGTATACAGTATTTCCTATTATACAGGGTGTTAGTGTAAACACCGTTATCCTTGAAATCAGTAGTTTGGTTTCACGTATAGAACATAAATTCAATGAAAAATAATAACATTTTTTTTAGTAAAATCTCAATTTTTCCTTAATTCCTCAATTTTTGCATGTCCTAAGCCAGGATGAAAGTATGAAGGAAAACTTACATCACAGGTTATGTGTACCTATTGTGTTTTTATTGGAATGTTATGTAGGTAGCTAGCGCGGGCGGTGATCTTTACAGTAATTACGTCACTCCGGCGCATAGGGCATCCATGAATTTACGGACGGTGTCGGACAGAAACTTTTTAAATTTTATGAAAGAAAATAGCGTTTTTTTTATTTGGATAAATATTTTTAAATTAAAGCCAACTACCTATGGTTTTAGTGACAACGGTGTTTACACTTACACCTTGCATTGGTCTCCTTTTCTGAAGGTTTCACTTTAACCGCTTATGAATAGCACACGTTTTTTTTAAATTTTAATGTGACTGATACGTTTTAAACATTTTAATATGTTTGTTTTATTACTATGGCTATTAAACGTATAACAAATATTTTCTCCGATCAGATTTTATTGGAAACGGAATTGAGGGTAAGACACTATCAGTGCAATAAGTGCTATTATATTATGGTTGTAGGTTTGCGAGGTTGCGTTATAATAAGCTAGTCCCTTAATATCCCAAATATTTTATTTCAAATGACAATGACCAATATTATATTAGAATTGATGTCTACAATAAACCCGACGATAAAATTCAATGAGGATACGGTTCCGCTGTAGAATGAGTACTACACAATATAAAGTTTTCAGAACAGTGATAATGAACAAATAAAGAATCCTACTGATTTCCAGAGCATAAGGAACGGGAAAGAATCCGTTCTGTTGCTTCTGTGGCGCATTTTTGGACTTTTTATACCCTTTAGCTTTACGAAACTTCGTACTTAATTTCATTTTTACAGTTTCCATACTATAACATTTTTTCTGCGTCATCGATATCTAAACTGCTATTATAGTGCGAAGTGTGGCATTTTCTAAACTGCTTAGTACCTAAAACCACGAGGATTGGTTAAAACTAAACATTTGAAGTATTATACTACAAGTTTTTTCCTCTTTGCTTCGTAAATTTTACTATATCCACCCTTCTTTGCGGGCAAATCTTCATGGATGCCTTCCGTTGCAGGGTCGACGGAAAGGTTAGCCGGACCTTACCGGCTAAAACCTCACGTTAGTCATCGTCGGCGTATACGAGGGGTCATGCGATCTCTGTCCGGAATGCAACCGGGGCCCCACAATCGCTTAGCTCGATTGGGAGCACATTTTCCACCCTGTCCTTTGTAGTCTAATTGTTTTTGCCATTTGGTTGCTAAGGTCATTTACCCAAGTGGGAATTTTAATAATTTAATCAATAAACACAATGTCATAGATAAATGCTAAGTATTTAGGTCGCTAAGTGTTTTTTATATATGTATATGTTAAAGATATTAATTAATTAGCAACCTTCCGCCAATTAAATACAATGATGTGTCTTACCTGGATTGAAGGGCACCTCCCTCAATTGCGTGCATCAATCCCGTCACCACTAATCCCAGCACCACTACTCCCGGCACGCAATTGAGGGAGGGCGGGAGGTGCTCTTCAATCTAGGTAAGACACATCATTGTATTTAATTAGCGGAAGGTTGCAAATTAATTAATATCTTTATTATAATGGATTTCCGCAAAGTAACGCCTAATTCTATCAATTATATGTATATGAGAAATGATGTAAGTACTTAAAATACATGGACATAATTGTAATATTTTTGTGTATATTAGGCAGTACAAGGAATATGGGCTCCGGGAATCGATGACGCCACCTGCGTGCGAGTTAATCATAAGTTTAGACTTATAGCTATAGGCAGGAAGAAGTGAGTATTAAATTAATTTATGTTATTATCCTTTAATTTAATGTTATTTCTTATTATTATTAAATATTAATTATTATTATTATTCCTCGCCGAGTGAAACCGACGTAAGCGAATCCATCATCGCATTCCCGTTTTATAACTGAAAACTGCTTTAGAATCGTTGTGATTAGAAAAACGATAAAACGAAAAAGCGACACTACAAAAGGGACAAACATATACATCTATGGGATTTAGCCTGCGAGAGAATGAGACAGAATACAGAATAGTTTTTGATTGTTTTGGATTAACTTTTTTCTGTCGGTAAAGTAGGAAATAATTGGAATTAAATAAATAAATTAATTAAAATCTATCGAAATTCAAATCACATTTCAAATTATATCAATTTTTGTGGCTTCTATTTATTTTTTGTACTTATTTTTTCCAGACGGTAAAAAAGGTCATGCAGTATATGAAATAAAATGTAAAATAAATTTTTAAGTCTGGTAACAAAATTATAATAAATACATCCTGACTAATTATTTTACTCCTGATAGTCGGATAGTCTCATTCTGTCGAAGCTTAGTTTTTTGAGGGTGTTACTTCTACCGCGTGAGAACTGCACTCATGTTGTTCTTAAAGTTACAGCCTATATACGTCCCACTGCTGGGCACAGGCCTCTGCTCATTTCTGAGAGGGTTTTAGGGCAAGGAATAAATGTAATGTTTTTCTTAATACAAGGGAAATGAACTGAATCCACAGTACACATGCTGATAAATGAATGGTGTAACTCTATGATACTTAAATCTCTCATTGATGAAGAGTCAAGAGACAAAGATGCAATGTCACGATACCAGCAAAACGCGTTTCTGTTTTTCTGCACTAATTAAACAACGCAGCAGCACTATGGTGCACCTTTACGCCGGTGTTATGTGAGAGCATGGTTCGTTTTTGGTTGAACCAACCTATTCGTACTGTGGTCATCCTATCTGCATCATGACTACTGCGAGTCGTAAGAGAGCTAACTATCGGAAGATTTCAAGGCCTGCAATAGATGACGGAATAACTATCTCAAATTTGCCTGGTGTAAAACAACAATGACTGGAAGTAACATCACAGTTACGAGATATCGATAGAGAAATCATTAATCCACTTTCTAAGTGTGGTAATTACGGCAAATTCCAACCATCCGCACAATTCCATCTATCTGGGAGGTCCAGCTCTGCACTTTTAACGAGCTGATAAAGATGCTGTAAACCGGTAGTTGGTCATATTATTCATAATTCATAATTCTTAATTGCATGTCACAAAGTATATGGTTGGAACAATATATTTACAGAACATGTGACACTCTGTACGGGCGTAGCATATTAAAACAGAGTTTAAATTTTAATTAATATAGTTTCATTTCATTCAAATTACAGTATTTATAGTACACAATATATAAATTATATTATAAAATGTCAGACTAAATAATACTTGCACATTTGTTTTAAAAATTAAATTTCATTAAATTGTCAACTGATTATTCGTCATTTATATTATGAAAATAAATAAATATTTCTGAATAAATGTTAAATTCACTGTTTTTTAATGACGTGTTGTGTACTTATTATAACTTTAACTGTTTCAGTTCTCAAGTAGACGTTTTTACGATAGACGAGATTACTGGAGGCCTGGAGTTGTCCCACACCATGGTTCTCAGCTCAAAAGACTTTCCGGGAGATCCGGGACCTGTAAAGTGCATAAGGTCTAGTAAATTGATAAATATAATTTGACAAAAAAGACTGTATGTAGAACTTGTTGCGTGTTGCTATGAGGTAGAACTCTTGTTCTTGGTGTCTTCGATCAACAATACCAACTAGATGTCGGGTCGGCGCAAGAAATTCATCTCAGTAAATAAGAGCGCATATGAGACGTGAGCTCTTGCACGTGAGAGTGTAGCTCGCAAGGCAATAACGGGAAAAAGAACTTTATTTGTTATAACTTAAGGTTGATTTCACACTAAATTACACCTAGATTTATGTCTACATAGTTTATATTCACGCGGACAGTATTTAGCTATGATTTTGTACTTGACCCGTTATCTAGTTGGTATTGTTGATCGAAGCTTGGTGTCGATCTGAGTAGATATCACCGTACATAGTAGCAATGCATACACTCTGCTTCAATTGAATGGACCAGTCCAGTGGCGGACAACGCATCTGAAGTCTTACTATCGCAAAAATCATTATTTTATGTTGAGGTCTTGTAACACGTTAAATTAATCATTTAATCATTCTGTTTTACGGCTAGCACAAAGAATATGATCAAGGGTGTTATGGCGGCAAAGGGAATTCATTCATTTCATCTTGTTACTGTCATAATCTAAAACATCTTGAATACGTGGCGTTTACTTCTTTCTGCAAATTGGCAGACAATTCTGATATTAGCCAGGTTCGCATAGACACTTGTGTTTCGACGTTTGTTCTGATACAGGAATTATCAATCCATCTGCGAAGGGCATTGATACAGAAAATTAGTCAAGTCAGATGTTCATATAACTGTGTATTTTTACACATTAATGACGATGTAGCTCGTGGTTATTAACACTGACGAGCCGATAAAAATTATAATATGGACTGGTGGGCTATAGGAACTAAGTCCAGTTGTTAATTTAATCATTAACAAATCAAGTATGGTCTTCAAATAATTTGCAATTCTAGGTTCTTATTTATGTTTACATATTATATGCCATAAATAACCATAAAATGGCCGTGTAGTGGCGGTTGAGAATATCCACTACCCCATATCTTCCCGTGGGTGTCGTAAGAGGCGACAGAGGGAGACAGGCAGGAGATGGGCAACAGCATCTTTCTGATAACAACTGTGTTTTTCCTTATCATTCATCAAATTGTTTCTCCTTATCACCTCATATCACTAATAATGTTTCCACATAATTTTGAGTATAAATGAGTAAATGTCAATATAATATTGACGGTTTGGCGGCACAGTAGATAAGCATTTCATCATCATCATCATCATCATTACAGCCCTTCACAAGTCCACTGCTGAACATAGACCTCTTCCAAGTAACGCCACACGGTCCTGAGCCACCTGCATCCATCGAGTAGTCGTCACTACATCTAGTAAGGGGTCGCCCTACACTACGCCTACCGGTACGAGGCTGCCACTCGAGAACCTTTCTTCCCCATCGGTTATCGGTTCTTCGAGCTATATGGCCGGCCCATTGCCACTTCAGCTTACTAATCTGTTGGGCTATGTCGGTCACTCTGGTTTTACTGCGGATGTCCTCATTTCTGAGTCTATCACGCAGTGAAACTCCGAGCATAGCCCTCTCCATAGCTCGCTGAGCGACCTTGAGCGTCCTCATACGGCCAGCGGTGAAGGACCACGTCTCAGATCCGTAAGTCATCACTGGCAACACGCACTGGTTATACACTTTAGTTTTCAGAGATTGAGGTATACCTGACGAGAAGATGTGTCGTAATTTCCCGAACGCTGCCCAGCCGAGTTGAATCCGTCGATTGACCTCTCGGTTGAAGTTGGACTTACCTAGTCGGACTATTTGTCCCAGGTAAACGTACTCGTCAACAACTTCGAGCACAGTGCTCCCAACAACTACCGGCATAGGTGTGACATGGACATTAAACATGATCTTTGTTTTGTCCATGTTCATCTTAAGACCTATCCGTTGGGAGACACCATTGAGGTAATGACCTTAGCACTATGCTCAATGGAGCATAGTGCTAAGGTCCTCCAGCGATTCTGCCATAAGGACTATATCGTCGGCAAATCGAAGATGAGTGATGTACTCGCCATTGATGTTAATACCGTATGCTTTCCAGTCCAGTAGCTTGAAAACGTCTTCCAACGCAGCGGTGAAGAGTTTCGGGGATATAACATCACCCTGTCTTACACCTCTCTGCAGTTGGATAGGTTTCGTACTCTGGTTCTGTACTCGGATAGCCATCGTAGCCCTACTGTACAAACACTTCAGCACTTCAATATACCGACAGTCAACTAGGCACCGCTGAAGAGACTGTAGCACCGCCCAAATTTCGACGGAATCAAAGGCTTTCTCATAGTCCACATACGCCAGGCAAAGTGGCAGATTGTACTCTTCGGACTTCTGTATAATTTGCCGAAGGGTATGTATGTGGTCTATGGTGCTAAAACCTTTTCGGAAACCGGCTTGTTCGGGAGGCTGGAAGTCGTCGAGTCTGCGTGCGAGACGATTCGTAATAACTCTCGAAAACAGCACGTAGACGCGGCTCAGAAGGGAAATCGGTCTGTAGTTCTTCAAGAAAGCGTTGTCGCCTTTCTTAAAGAACAAGACCACCGCGCTTCTGCTCCACGCCTTCGGAGTAGTGCCACCATGTAGGACGGAATTGAAGAGGTGCTGAAGGAGTTCAAGTACCGGTGTTCCACCCGCTTTCAGAAGCTCCGCTGTAATTCCATCCTCGCCCGGGGCCTTGCCGTTTTTAAGGTGATGGAGAGCCATTCTAATCTCGCTCAGACTGACGTCCGGGATATTTTCGGAATAGTGTCGGATAAGACTTGCTCTTGGATCGTTACTCACACTTGCGTGTGGCTCCAACGATGATGTGTACAGCTGGCAATAGAACCTCTCAATCTCACTCAAAATCTCAGGTGTCCCGGAAACGATGCTGCCACACTTAGTCTTCAGCTTTGACAGTTGGCTCTTTCTGGCAGACAGATCTCTGGCAAAGACTTTGGAGCCCTGGTTCCGCTCGATTGCTTCTTTAATACGAGCAGTATTAAAGTTGCGTAAGTCTCGCCGCACGCATTTGGAGATCTGTCTGTTCAGTTACCTGTATGCTGTCAAATCTGTTGACGATTGCAGTCTCATCTCCCGTCTAACAGCCATGAGATTAAGAGTGTGATCGGAGAGTTTTTGTGTTCTTCTGCGGCGGGTCTTGCAGAACTTAGCTCCGACCGCATGGACAGTTTCCACGAGCTTGTCATTCATATCGTCCACTGCATTGCAATCTTCTAGGCACTGAAAGCGGTTACGTAACTCGAGCTGAAAGGTTTCGGGATTCTGGATTAGAGCACGAGGGGGACGGAGCGTTGACTTCATTAGACGAGACCTCTCCAACTTAACGTTTAGGTTCAGTGTGCCTCTAACCATTCGGTGATCGCTGCCGGTTTTCACCCTTGCGATCACTTAGACATCACTGAACAGTTGGCGTGTGGTCGTCATAATGAAGTCAATCTTATTTTTTGTCGAACCGTCGGGGCTCGACCAGGTCCACTTCCTGTAGGGCCGCTTCTTGATGAAAGAGTTCATCATAAAGAGTCCCTCTTTCTCCATAAAGTCAGCCAGCTGCTGGCCCCTACGGTTCCGTCCCCTACTCCAAATTTCCCTAACTTCAGCTCACCGCCTTCTCTTGTGCCTAGTTTTGCGTTGAAGTCTCCCATCAACACCGTATAGTGGGTTTTGGAGGAATGCTGGCTCTAGAAATATCCTCATACATTTCCTCCACCTCCTCATCGGGATGTGCCGAGGTTGGTGCGTAGACCTGTATGACCTTCAGCGAATACCGTTTAGTGATTCTGAGTATCAGGTACGCGACCCTCGTAGACACACTCCCAATCTTTACAACGTTATTGACGAGAAACTTGAGGACGATAAATCCGATACCTCCTTAAGACAGATGGTCGCCCTTCCGGCGATAGAACAAGTTGCCGGACTCGAGGATTACCGTGTCATCCCCCTCTCTTCGGACCTCGGATAATCCAATAATATAGCCAGCGCAACTTGTCTACCTCTTCTTTCAGCTCCAGTATCTTCTAGTCAGTCCTCAGGGTGCGTGCGTTTATATGTTGCCAGGTCGAGTCGTCGTAGGTGGAAACCGAACCTCCACCGGAGATTCTTAGCACCCCCTGCCCCGCCGTTACCATGGTCGCCACCGTAGCCAGGAATAGCGGGGCCGCCGGGGACTGGGGGCCGTTTTTTTGCGTCGTTATTCATGGGGGGATATTTGCCATAGTTGCCACGCTTGGCAAACGGGTTGGCAACCGCAGTTTTTTTATTATATCACTGTTGTTATCAGGAAGATGCTGCTGCCCATCTCCTCCTGCCTGTCTCCCTCTGTCGCCTCTTACGACACCCACGGGAAGATATGGGGTAGTGGATATTCTCAACCGCCACTACACGGCAACAAAGCATTTGGTTACGGCAAATATCAAATTATTATCCTGAAACGTGATATTTGTCCTGGTGTATTTATAACGCCCCCACGTATACAAGAAAGTTGTATTGTGAAGAGTGTAATGTTAAGGTATCTAATTCGATTTATCTATATTTCTCACGTAAGTTTGCACCACAGTCCTATTATTTACTAATACTCTTAAATACTCGATCTACATTTGTACTTGCGTGGAGCAAAGATGGGGGAGGGGGTATATGAAGAAGCAAGTGAGTTTGCGCTCTGTTTTTGTGTTAAGTTAGTTTTCTACAGCTATTTCCTTAGCCGATGTGTAAATAAACACAAACGTTTGTTCAGGATTAAGTACGCGTGCATCTACTCTAATGTACCGACATCGACAGTGTGTAATTTATACTTAAACAACATTATAAGTATTTGATAACCCTCTGATATCTTTGCGATGGTGACATAAATTCAAGAACAAAAGAGTTACACTTCTGGTAGGTTATATATCAATGCTGTGCTTATATTTGTATTTTGAAATATGCTTCTCTCCTGTAGAAAATTCTAGTGTGGAAAAATCGTAGTTAGCTTACAGTACATACATATTATATGTGTTTTGTGTGAGATTCAACTCAATGCTGCAGCTTAATGCTTAACCATTGCGCCGAGAAATCCAATTACACCTGACGTAATATATTTGTGGTCAGATGGACAGCGGACGGTCGCGCAGTGTGCGCGAGCTGGGCGCGCGGCGGCGTGTCCGTGTGGAGTACGTTCGGCGCGCTGCTCATGTGCTCGCTGGCCTGGGACTACGGCCTCAGCCAGGACCTCGTGCACCACAACCCGCTCGTCGTCTCCAGCATGGTGCGTATCGTTACAGTACGTGTCGGCGTGGAGCACGTTCGGCGCGCTGCTCATGTGCTCGCTGGCCTGGGACTACGGCCTCAGCCAGGACCTCGTGCACCACAACCCGCTCGTCGTCTCCAGCATGGTGCGTATCGCTACAGTACGTGTCGGCGTGGAGCACGTTCGGCGCGCTGCTCATGTGCTCGCTGGCCTGGGACTACGGCCTCAGCCAGGACCTCGCGTACCACAACCCGCTCGTCGTCTCCAGCATGGTGCGTATTGCTACCACGACGGATGCCTTAACAATGCACCGAGTATTTCCAAATAATTACAAAGTAATTAATAACTTTATATATTTGCGTATCTCTGCAGGGTGATATTAACATTTCGCGTACATATTATTAGCGTTTATACTACAAAATTGAAGAATGGAAAGATATATCTAGACCTGGATATAAAAATAATTTAGTTCTTGCATTGGCTTTGGGTGGGATACCAGCTTCTGGTTACGGTTCACTATTATATAGTTGGCAGAAGTACACTATATTGCAGATCGTCTACATCTTCTTTATATGTTGTATAATCATTGTTGCGTCTGTTTGTAATTGTGTAACTTCTGAACGACTTGACCGATTAAGGTCTTAGTACCCGGTTGACCGAGCTTTGCTCGGTATTTTTCGCTCGGTTTTTTTTTAATTCGTGTGTTTTGGAAATTATATTTAGATACAAATTTCATACTGATGAAATACGAATAATATTTTTTGATCGTAGCGACATAATAGAAAAAACTGAACTGGTTATTTGAATAAAAAATCATGAGCGCAATTAGTTTAATTTAAATTTTCGTGTTTTTAAAAAAATACAAAAAAAGGGCACGAAAAAATTGATTTTCTCAAAAAAGAAAGGAAAAAAATTAAAAAGTCGGTCGATCGATCTGGGCTCGAACCGTGGTATTACGATTTTGTGACCGCCCAATATACCAATTAAGTTATTTGTAATCATTAATAAACTGTCAAAATTTACCTTCTTATTCTAACGATATTGTAGCAGTTTTTCATTGCCTAAAAACACGGACAAAAAAACATTTTCTAAAAATAAATCCTAGCTAGATCGATTTATTGCCCCCGAAACTCCCTGCACACAAAATTTTATAAAATTCGTTAGAGCCGTTTCCGAGATTACGATTATATATATATATATATATATATATATATATATATATATATATATATATATATATATATATATATATATATATATACAGAATGGGTCCCACATATATGCAATAAATGAAACCACAAGTAATACTAGTCCGCAGAAGTGTAGAAAAATTAAATATTAAATTAAAACCCGTGAAATAAAAAAGTGAAATTTTCAAACAAAATAAATATTAAAATAAATTCAGTAAAAGTGAACAGTCTGTTTAGACAACATACCTTGACCCCTTGGAAGAGTGAAAACGTTGCACGCGGGTGGCACGCCGACAAAAGACACCGCTGTCGATATGTCGCAATACCAATAGTTTGCACTGCGTGGCAACGTCGCTTTTTAATGTTCAAGGATTCAAGTTCATTGAATCATTGACTTAGTGACCCAATTCTATAGAGTTCAAATTTGCTTAAAATTAAAACTCTACTTTTTGACCTAATTACTGGACCGATTACGTTCATTTTTTGTATATCGTCAGCAAAGGCGATAACAAGTATATGGTTTCATTTATTGCATATATGTGGGACCCATTCTGTATATATATATATATATATATATATATATATATATATATATATAAGAATTGCTCGTTTAAAGGTATAGGATATTTATTTATTATTATGTGTTATATCATTAATATGGCTAAATGAAAGCTATATATGCATATATATGTATGTATGTATTTTGCGAACCGGTAACATTCATTGCTATGCAGACGACAAGCACTGGTGATGCTTTATACACCGGCCGTGCCAATATTTTTTGGAAAAACGTCGCCGAGTACCGGGACAAACTTTTGTCTGTAGTCGAGACTTTGTTGAACAAAGTCTCGGACTGGGGGCGACTAAATCTAGTCCAGTTCAATCCCCAAAAGACACAAGTTTGCGCGTTTACCGCTAAAAAAAACCCCTTCGTCGCATCTCTTCAGTTTCAAGGTACTCCCCTCGTTGCCTCAGCCAGTATCGTATTCCTCGGCGTCGACATATCGGAGTGACGTGCAGTTTCGTGGTCACTTGGAAGAAAAGGCCAAATTGGCCTCTAAAAAGCTTGGCGTGCTCAGCAGAGCGGGACAGTATATCCTGCCGGCACACCGACTGCAACTTTACAAGGCACAGGTTCGGCAGCACATGGAATACTGGCCCCATCTCTGGGCTGTGGCTCCTCAGTGCCAGCTCCTTCCACTAGATCGCATCCAGAGCAGTTCGAATCGTCGGCGACCGAGCTCTTTCCGATCGGCTTGACTCACTGGCACTGCGAAGAGATGTTGCATAACTTTGCGTATTTTATCGCATTTGCCATGGGTAGTGCTCTGAGGAATTGTTCGGACTAATTCCAGCCGTACAATTACACCATCGCACATTGCGCCAAAACTCGCGATACCATCCATACCATCTGGATGACTGGCGGTCCATCACTTTGCGATTTAAAGGAAGTTTTCTTCCTCGCACAACTTCCTTGTGGAATCAACTACCACCAGAGATTTTTCTGGACCGATACGACGTATAGACCTACAAGAAAAGAGCCTATTCCTTTTTAAAAGGCCGGCAAGGCATCTACATCTCCATCTGGTGTTGCAGTTGTTCATGGGCGGCGGTAATCACTTACCATCAGCTGAGCCATATGCTCGTTTGCCCCCTCTCATAAAAATAATTATAAATATGAGTCATTTTGGTTCATAACTTGACTACAGCACCACCTATCGGATCTTAGCATATTTTGGGGTCAAAATCTCAAACTGTAACAAAATCTGAAACGGTTAGGTACCGCTGTGATAGATTTAATTATAAATTTTATATTAAGAATGTAAAAGTGAGTGAATTAGATAGTGAAACTCACTACGCCACGTGTCAGCTATTATATTATTAGTATATTAAATAGTACATAATATAAAAAAATATTTATTTCGTCAGGAATGGGCTACAGAAGGCTATCAACTTTGGATGGTTAAAATTGAGGGAGACTCTAACACCAACCTGATACAAATGGATTTTGTAAAAAGCCCCCTCAGTGTCAATCCTTGTATGGTGAGTATAAAATGTGTATTTGTTAATTTATTTTATAAAATTCGTTAGTGACAAACAAACTCAGACCACCTGATGATAAGTACATGGATACCTGCAGCCAACTTCAGATTAAGTAGGCTACAGATGCGCTATCACATCTGATGAGTCGGATGAAATGCCAGATGGACTTCTAGGTAGAAAAGCAGTTCCACCCCCTACTACACAAAAGAGTCCCGCTGGGTTTCTTGATGGTTTTTTCCAGGACAGTAGTTTTTACCGAACCAGTGCTTTTAATAAGAATTGTAATCTATATTGCATAAAAAATTATTCTCGTCTATTTATTCTGTCTATTAAATACTAAAATGTTTAACTCACGTTAATAAAAAAGTGGAGATATATTTACAAAGAATTAGGTTAGCATTGTATATAATAGTTGTTCTAGATCTAGAAATTATAGAACATTTCTATTCCTTTTTAGAAAAAATTCATTTCTTAACTGGGGCTTAACGCTATTTACTAAAGCAGGAAAAACCCATATCAAAGGTTCGAAAATACCGAAGCCAAATCTAATTTTTAATATTTCAATAAATAATTAATATAAAATTTTGTTTGTTTTATTAGAGCAATCAGAGACACTTATATTTGCAAGCAGACGACAAGCTCTACGTGAATTTAGAAGACAACCTAACTAGAAAAACAAAAATATCGATGATCGACTCATCCGACTACCAGGATAATGGTGTACCAGACCATCCAACTCTGGTGTATGATAATAAGGCCAAGTATAGAGAGTTTGTCGATGACAACGAATGCAGGAAGCAGTGGATCGTGTTGCCATTACCGGCGACGTATATAGCAACCAACTGGCCGCTTAGAGTGAGTAGTAAATAATATTTTTTACACCTTAAGCTTCTCGCGATCGTTTAATGATGATTATGTACTAAGTAAACTTTTTGCCAAATCTGCTGTTAAGAATGCTTTACACCATGACGTTGTAGTGGGATTAGCTGATAAAGAAGAGACATCAAATGAAAGAAGAAGCTTCGAAAAGAGCAAAGAAAGCTGTTAGGGCTATAAAATTTTCATCAAAATAGGTGTTATACACATTTTAATATTATGTATTATGATCTGTATTATACTAGTATATTCTAAGTTTATGATCTTTATGTACCTCTTTTAATGAAGCTTTAAACTAGAATTAATAACTATTAATTTGTAATAAGTAAAATCTTAAGTATGATTAAAATGTTTTTATAAGTTCAAGTCGCTTTTAATTATTAATTGCGCGAAACAATTCCCAGGATCATGTGCACAACTGAAGAAAAACGTTTAATTCGGAAAAATACTTATAATTAGTCTAAATATGTACTTCAATGGTTCAGAATGATTATATTATTAATGGTTTAGGTTTAAGATATTATTTATTTCTCAAAAGATTACAAATCGCTTACGAGAAATAAAAAATTTACAAACAATAATTGTTTGAGCAATAATGTAATGCATTTGTGTATGTAAGATAAACAGTAACCATGTGTGAGTGAGGTCTGGCCATTGACACCTTGTTTCTGTGATCAGTCCCTGTAAAAATAGTGAACCTTAATACCACAACAATAATAAAGGAATCCTTTACAAGCATACAGAATATTAACTATAGATGTGGGTAAAACGTAAACAATTAAAAGAACAGTAAACATTTAGACGGAACTATTAATGCAACTGAAACAGAAATAAGGGTGCGTACAAACTAAGTTAGATTTAATTTTAGCTTGTATTTTTTTATTGGTTAATTTTCCAAAATATGGCATTTCAATAAGTTTTTAAATAAAGATAACGTTTTTTTTTTTAAACTTTATTTTCAATTATTAATCAATTATTTTAGTCATCTAAAATTATGGCGTTTCACCAATTGTCTTTTTCTTCCTCATAGTGTGACCTATGGCCTCTGCTTGTTTCTATGTAATATATGTTCTAAGGTTTTGAGTATTTAAATTATTGCTACTTTTATTTAAGTTTTATATTGTTAATTTTGAATCATTGCTGATTAAATTGTCATTACTAGTCGTATTGAGAGGCTTTAATATTAGAAGTAAAAGTGTGTAATATTATAAAGAACAAAATGGTATTATTAGTAGTAAATGATTATTTAGGTGGAAAAATAACTTTATAACTATTTGTTGAATAGCCGTGGTAGCTCAGATGGTTAGCGCTCGTTGTAAATTTCACAATACGTGAGCACCCCACGTTCGATCCTCGCCGGCACCAATGAAATTGTTAATTGCGATTTTAAATGCTGTTTACCACGTGATCTGCGGTGAAGGAAAACATCGTGAGGAAACTTGCATGTCTGAGAAATAAGAAAAACAATTTCAAATTGGCGAAAATATAGAACAAGTAAAAGAAATTTCCTTTCTCGGTATACATATAGATGCATTCTGTAACTGGAAAACTCACATAGAAAAAGTATGTAATAAACTTAACCGCTTTGTTTACGTATTACGGAACCTTACAAAAACGGCATCGCAATCAACAGCTCTCATGGCCGTATTACGGATACGTTTGTTGTATACTTAGCTACGGTATAATAATATGGGGAAATTCTGTAGACATCAATAAAGTTTTTATTGTGCAAAAAAATGTCTACGTGCAATATGTAATATGGCCCCTCATGAGTCGTGTAAATCAATATTTAGAGATTTGAAAGTGCTAACACTTCCGTGCATATACATTCTTGAAACAGCAAAATTTGTTAAAATAACCCCGAGCTGTTTATAACTGCTGGAGATATTATCAAATCCAAACCTTTGAGGCATCCAGATAAATTAGTCATTGATAAAATACCAAAAACGGTTAATTATCATAAGAATTGCTATGCAATGTGTATAAAAGTATTTAACGCTATACCCGATAACATAAAACTACAACCAAGGAAGAGTTTTCGGGGACGATCTGAAAAAGTGGCTATTTAATAAATCTTTTTATTCGGTTAATGAGTTGTTGGAAAAACAATATCTTTAAATTTTGGACTATTCTTAATAATAATATATAATGTGACATGAAAATATAAATATTAATAATGTGATAGTGCAATTAATAGTAAATGTTTTTGTTTTATTATGTCGCTTTCTAGTTTATTTTTATGTTTTTTTTTGTTTGTTAATTATTATCAATGTTTTTTTTGTAATTTTAATCTATATTGTAGTTAATAATACTTAATGTATTTAAATTTATATCATTTTGTACACCAGAAATGGTTAATGTGTTGTACTATATTTTTTCTTTATAACAATTGTAAAACATACACATTATGCAAAATAATCAAATAAATAAATAAAGTCATGTGAGGCTTGCTAACACGCATTGGGGCAGTGCGGCGGACACTTCTTTGCACTAAAACTGTCTTAGAAATGAGTAGAGTCCAGTGACCAGCTCTGGGACGTACATAGGATGTAACTTAAGTTACTTTTTTTATAACTGTTAGTTTGCTTAAATAAATAAAATTGAAGTGTCCGTAATGCTTTTAAAACAGCTTTTTACTAAATGCACGTGAAAGTATAGACGGCACACAATTTTTTAAATTTTTGTCTGTCTGTCTGCCTTTTTGTTCCGGCTAATCTCCACAACGGCTGGACAGATTTTGACGGGCCTTTCACTGTCAGATAGCTGATGTTATAAGGAGTAGCTTAAGCTACTTTTAGTTTAGAAAAAGGATTAGGGTCCCGCGCAAAAAAAAAATTAAAACCCTAAATTACACGCGGGCGAAGTCGATGGGAACAGCTAGTTAGTAAATAATGAAACTATGAACTTTCAAGTTTACCACTTTCAACTTAAAATACGAGATTGAGGGTACGGATAAGGATAGGATGATTTTACTCCAACCCTATCTTAATGTAGTGTATGACACTTACGTACCTTGAATGCATTTAAATTTTAGTAAATTTCTAATACTTAAATATTAGCTGTATGATCTAATGTTTTAGTATTAAATATAAATGTATTCAAGGTACGTGTCGCGTTATACGCTACATTAAGATGGGTTCAATTGTACAGTACAGCGCGATGGACGAAGCGGGCGCGAACGTGTGCGTGGCGGGGCGCGCGGGGCTGGCGCACTACAGCTGCGCGTCGCGCCGCTGGAAGCTGTTCGGCAACGAGGCGCAGGAGAAGGACTTCGCTGTCTCCGGCGGCATGCTGTGGTGGCGCGACTACATCGCCGTCGGTGCGCGCCTCCGCCACTAATCAATAAACCATTTAAAATATTTGCTTTTACAGATTATTATTTACTTATTAAAATATAATAAAGATAATAATTAATTTGCAACCTTCCGCCCATTAAATACAATGATGTGTCTTACCTAAATTGAAGAGCACCCCCGCCCTCCCTCAGTTGCGTGCACCAATCCCGTTACCACTAATCTCAGCACCACTACTCCCAACACCAATATTCCAGGAAAGACACACCATCGACGATAAACCGGTCAGCCGCTGTAGAGTCATCACCTAAGGATGCCTCGCGAAACACGTGTCGTATTATCGTTGATGGTGTGTCTTTCCTGGAATATTGGTGTTGGGAGTAGTGGTGCTGAGATTAGTGGTGACGGGATTGGTGCACGCAATTGAGGGAGGGCGGGAGATGCTCTTCAATCCAGGTAAGACACATCATTGTATTTAATTAGCGGAAGGTTGCAAATTAATTAACATCTTTATTATAATGGATTTCCGCAAAGTAACGCCTGATTCTATCAATTATTAAAATATCTTAAGCTGGAGATGCGTAAGTGCGTTCTAAAACTTCTACAACAATTGCGTCACAAGCTTTATTAACGGCTTCATTGCCAATGTTCATTTCAGTAAAAATAATTATAATTATTGTTGCATACATTCTGAATATTAAACGAAAGTTGTAACGTTTGAAAAATATAAAAAAATATTAATATTTACAGCCATGACTATTTGTCATTGTTTTTTCGCTCACGATGTTTAATTGTCTTCTCTTTAATTGTATTCTTGTACACTACCAGTTATACAAATATTAAGAACCGATTTAGAAAAATTATAAAAAACGAAAGGCCTTGGGTGACGTTACGATATCCATTACTATATATTATCTTGTAAAAATCGACAGAGGAAAACTAAACCACCAGATACGCAACAGAATCTTCCTGATAACAACTAAATAAAAAATACGGTTGCTCACCCGCCTAGTAAACGTGACAGAGATACTCGTCGAGAAGGCTACAAAGAGACTGCTTCTATCACCGTCGACCTCGCTATTCCTGGCTACGGTGGCGATCATGGTAATTGCAGAACAGACGGTGCTGAGAGTTTTCGGCGGAGATTTGGTTGCCACCTTTGACAACTTATCAGATATTTATTAATAAAATTATTGTGTGTGTCTATGTCTATGTCCTTGCTGCGTACCTAATAACGTAAGAGTATCAACTATAATATTCATTTGTCAGGTTGCTATAGCATTCTCGACGGACACGACGAGATTCGCTTCTATCCGCGCGATGCGAAGTTGGATAACCGGTTTGCGAAGATCGTGCGCGTGCAGGCGCAGGTGTTCGCGCTGGACGCACTCGACGACCAGCTCGTCGTGTTCACCTCTGATGCGCTCGTCACCATCTACGAACTAAGCGCCGTGAATAACAGTAAATTTAAATAATATTTTATCTGAATTTCGCACTACCTAGTGATATTTAGCGAAAAAACTTAATTATTTATAAAAAAATTACCCGACTTCTAATAATAATCTTTATATATATATAAGTATATATATATATATATATATTTTTATATATATATATATATATATATATCGCAGACATCCATCATCCATCGCAGACAAACAACGTGACACGTAATTTATATATATATAAGTTTGTCTGCGATGGACTCCTAAACTACTTAACCGATTTTAATCAAATTTGCACACAGTGTGCAGTTTGGTCCAACTTGAGAGATAGGATAATTTTTTTTGCCCATGAGTGACCAACAATTTTTTTTTGCGAATTTAAAGATTTTTAATAGAACATGACAAAAGGTCGTCGAAAAGAGCAGAACAACGTCTGCCTGGCAAGCTAGTATCTTATATGTTCGTGAGCATTACACACTGCATAAAACATCTTATAGTTAAACCTAAAGTCATATGGTAGCTCTAACTAAAAGATCATTAAATATCCGCGTAAAAAGACATTTAGCTGACGTGAAATACCAACGTTTCGGGAAGTCCACATTTAGTAGACATAGTAGATCGTACTCTAGACGGCTCTTGCTTTTGCATCAGATTAGATACACCATCAATCTTTGCGAAAAAACATTGATTCCTACCAAGGATGATTTGTAAGGCTATGGAAATTTTAAAATATACCAATTTCATTAGAGAGGGTGGCTGGTATTACTTGCTTCAGATCTTGTAATTAATAAAACTAAATCCAAACTCAATCATACCACTGCAGGACTTCAAGATATTGTTATATCATTCTGCGTGGATTGGAACAAAATTAAAATTAAAATCTGAATGTTTCTCGGGTTAACTATAATATCGGAACGTCACACGTCTCAGTCCGTGACCATGTGTGTCTAAATGTCCGGACTATTTACGTAAAAATAATTTTATTTGACTAATTATCATGGGATCAGTTTGTGGTTTTTAATTTAATAACGTACATGAAATTTTATAAATGTCTGTTTCGTAACTTGTTTATTTTCTATATACAGTGTAATGTAGTTTATACATGGCAGAGACACGATATAGCTATATCACAGTTTAAACACCTTACAGTTGGAAAACGAATGTACTTGTGAAGAGCAACGGTGGGGACACTGCGGGGAAAAGGGCGGGCCACCTTGTGCTAGCGCACTTCACCGAGTCTGATAGATAATACATGCGGTTGGCGCGAGCGTGTTTTATAGTACTTATTTAACTAATAAAAGTTCTGTTTACGAAAAATATAATATCTAGAATAATGAATTAATGTTATATTTATATGAGTTACAAAGTAAAATTTAATTCAAATGACGTCCATGCTTATGTTTTCCTTATTTTTTATTTTTGATAAAACTGTTTATCCGAATGCGAAGATATTACATAATTAAATGTAACAATTGAAAAATTTAAAACATGTATAAAAATAAAGTGTCACGAAAATATTTGGCAATGCAACACTTGTAAACGTGTTTTTTTTGTAGTGATAAAAATGATCCTGTTAAAAAAAAGTTTTTAACTTTTAACTACATATGTTATGTTTTAAATGGTAATGAGTGTTATACAAAATCATTTTATTTCCGTTTTCGTGACAACCCGTAACATGCACGATGCTGAAGATGCATGGACATCAAAGGAGTTTCACAACTGTAAGGTCTTAATGGCTATATTATGATCGTAGCACGAATGCGTCGGCTCGAACGGCATAGGACCACGCTCTCATAGAATACCAGCGTAAAGTAGTAGCTTTGTCTGCTGTGTATTGTATGGTCAGCGTAGATCGGAGACCCTTTTTATTGAAAACAAGTTCAGTTGTTGGAATGTGTGCTTGTTTGTTACCCTTATTGTATAAAATCAAGAGTTTGCAGAAAAGTGTTCGATTTTTCGCCGTTGTCATTTATTTTGATTGGCAAATATATTGATGTACTAGCAATATAACAAAATGTTTCCTGTGCAGACGGCGGCATAGAGATGCGGTGCGTGCAGGCCGTGGATATATCCGCGCTGTCGCACCCCGCGTGCGTGGTGTCGGCGGCGCTGTGCCGGCTGCAGGAGCAGCCCGGCCCGCCGCACTTGGCGCGCGCGCCTGCAGCCAGCCCGCTCGCGCCCGACTCGCTGGTTAGTACTGTGCTGTGCTGTATTGTACTGTAGTACAGTACATAGAGATGCGGTGCGTGCAGGCCGTGATATATCCGCGCATTCGCACCCCGCGTGCGGGGGGGCGGGGCGCTGTGCCGGCTGCAGGAGCAGCCCGGCCCGCCGCACCTGGCGCGCGCGCCCGCAGCCAGCCCGCTCGCACCCGACTCGCTGGTTAGTACTGTGCTGTCCTGTATTGTACTGTAGTACAGTACATAAAGATGCGGTGCGTGCAGGCCGTGATATATCCGCGCTGTCGCACCCCGCGTGCATGGTGTCGGCGGCGCTGTGCCGGCTGCAGGAGCAGCCCGGCCCGCCACACTTGGCGCGCGCGCCTGCAGCCAGCCCGCTCGCGCCCGCCTCGCTGGTTAGTACTGTGCTGTGCTGTATTGTACTGTAGTACAGTACATAGAGATGCGGTGCGTGCAGGCCGTGATATATCCGCGCTGTCGTACCCCGCGTGCGCGGTGTCGGCGGCGCTGTGCCGGCTGCAGGAGCAGCCCGGCCCGCCGCACCAAGCGCGCGCGCCCGCAGCCAGCCCGCTCGCGCCCGACTCGCTGGTTAGTACTGTGCTGTCCTGTATTGTACTGTAGTACAGTACATAGAGATGCGGTGCGTGCAGGCCGTGATATATCCGCGCTGTCGCACCCCGCGTGCGTGGTGTCGGCGGCGCTGTGCCGGCTGCAGGAGCAGCCCGGCCCGCCGCAACTCTCGCGCGCGCCAGCAATTAATGGGGAAGAGACGATTTTATGTTTTAACTCTCGTACCGAAAAGTGCCGTCAATAACGACTCTCCTTGATGAAATAATTAAATGGCTCTCGATCCTGCTTTGCCTCTGGGAAAGGCCAATAATTGGCAGTGGACTTTTGGTGGGGTGCAACGTTGATAATGATTTTTGTCAAATTATACTTATATCATTTACTATGTTCCTTTGTGTTGAATTTGATTTGCTTTATTTGGTATATTAAGCAAATTTATTTAATGTAATTTAGTTATTTACGGCAAAATCATAAAGTTGGCTGTAAAACCTTAAACATTAACACTTTACAGGTAATTAATGCTAGCGGAAAACTAATGATGGTACAGAGAGAAGAATACGACGTGGATGAAGACAACAATCCTGTAAGTAATATTTAATTATCTTGTATATAAATTCGTAAACGCGAATTACTTATCATGAAATCCCGGGTCGGCCAAAATCTGTGTTTTGACATTTCTGATATGAAATTTTCAGTTGCAGCCCAGAGACAGGAAATATAATTTTTGCCGCTTAAGTATGATGTATTTATGTTAATTTAAAAATTAACACAATTAACCCCTTAGTCCCCTAGCGGTTGAATCCGACCGCGGCGCTATTCCGTCAAAATTCAAGCCGTTGGATTCGACCCACAGCACTTTAAACTATTAAAACGTATATTTGGAGACTACTTTTCTATGAAGAAGTTTGGCAGTTTGGAAGAATCAGTATGAAATTTTCTATCATCTAGTGGAATAAATAGTCAAGTTATCTTATGGATATTTATTTATAATCTACGTTCATTTCTTACGCCATTTTCGCGTGAATGTTATTGTTTTGATTTTTGGATTTTTCTAGTGTTTTAGAGTATATTTCTATGTTTTATTAGTGTTTTAGAGTATAGTGTTTTATTATAAAATTGTAATGAAAGTTTTTGTGTGAATATAAATTATTTTTTTTACGTAAATAATTTCGAGTAATATATATTGAAATAATTGTGATTTTCACGCTGCCGCATTCGCTTGGTATGTTTTGTTTTTGTTATCAAAATACAATAGTCTTTTTGTAATGAAGTAAAACCCGACTTTTATGTAGAGAATTTTGTATAGATTTTATAATGCCAAATTTCTTCATAGAAAAGTAGTATCCAAGTATAACTTAATGGTTTTAAGTGCTGCCGGTGGGTGCGGTCTCATGCGACCCCTCGGGATTTGCCGGGCGCATGCGACTGCATGGGCTTTTTATTGGGATTGAGTGGTTAAATACATTATTATACTTATACTGTATGATTTTTTTACCGTCTGGAAAAAATGGGGTGTTACCGGTGAATGAATTAGAAGCCTATGTGGATTTGATATTTTACATATTTTATATTAATATATGAAATCGAATCATTAATAAATACTACCAATTTGAAATAAACTTTCCGTTCTAAAAAATAAAAACATAAATTTCAAACTAAATAAATAAATCAATTAAAAACTATGGAAATTCAAATCATACGTACCCTACTTTACGAGTGGCAATAAAACAATGAATTTGTAACGCACTTGCCGCACCTGTCGTAGGCCTCTTTGTTCTTGTCCTTTTACAGGGTCGCAGGCGCAAGGCCAAGGTCGCCTGTGCTCTAATTTAATTTCAGTGACATGTGATCAGATACGGCGTGACGTCGTATTGTTTATGTTTCCGCGTGTATATTGGCCGCCCGCTGATAGTTATCGTAAAGATGTACCAATACTCTTATGTCGAGTAACTGCGGTCAATTGCGAGATTTTATGTCCTGTCTGGTGAAAACAGTTGTTGCTATGAGTCGATATTTACCCGTGTTGGAATTTACAACGTGTACAGTGAGCACCGGTGCAGTTTCCGAAACCCACACGAATTCAAAGAACATACTCATCAAGTTCTTTTTATTGTTGCGCACAAAGTGTAAGTGAAAGTTTAACGCACAATTTACAAAGATGTGCTAGTTGGTGTTTAGAAAGAATCGGTGGACATTTTGAACTAGTTACTGCGATATCGTTAAAAAGATTTTTTATGTCAACAACAATAATGTATTATAATTTTGTAAATATCAATCAGTATAGTTTGTAAATAAGTTGATTTCGATCTTTTTAATACGCCTTAGATATTGCAGTATATGATAGGCATAAAAATTGTTATTAGAAACTGTTTATGAATTCATTATAATGCAAGGTAAAATTTAACATGTAATTAGCCCGTAAAAGTATGAAGGAAAGCTCGAAATCACAAAAATAATAATTTGAAACGAAATGCGTTCGGTTCCGACGGGAGGAAGTGGCTTCGGCTGCATTCAGTCGGCACGGATGAATATCGTAACCAAATTAGAAATCATCATCATCATTTAAGCCATTCACAAGTCCACTGCTGAACATAGGCCTCCCCTATGGAATACCACAAAGCACGATACTGACCCACCTGCATCCATCGACTTCCTGCATGTCTTACTAGTCGCTTCGTCACTCCATCTAGAGGGAGGTCGCCCTACACTACGCCTACCGGTACGAGGCTGCCACTTGAGAACCTTTTTTCCATCGGTTGTTGGTTCGTCGAGCTATATGGCCGGTCCATTGCCACTTCAGCTTACTAATCCGTTGGGCTGTGTCGGTTAATCTGGTTCTATTGCGGAAATCCTCATTTCTAAGTTTATCACTCAGGGAAACCCCGAGCATAGCCCTCTCCATAGCTTCCTGAGCAACCTTGAGCGTTCTTATACGGCCAGCAGTGAAGGATCACGTCTCAGATCCATAAGTCATCACTCACTGGCAACATGCACTGGTTGTACAATCTAGTTTTGAGGTTACGAGAAGATGTGTTGTAATTTGCCGAATGCTGCCCAGCCTGATTAAATCCGTCGATTGACCACTCGGTCGAAGTTGGATTTGTCTAGTTGGATTATTTGTCCCAGGTACTCGTCAACAACTTCAAGCTTAGTGGCTCCCAACAACTATCAGCCTAGGTGTGACATGAACAATACACCTCATGATCTTGTTTTTGTCCATGCTCATCTGAAGGCCTATCCGTTGGGAGACACTATTGAGGTCATTGAGCATAGTGCTTGGGTCTTCCAGCGAATCTGCCATAAGGTCAATATCGTCGGCAAATCGAAGAAGGGTGATGTACTCGCATTTGATGTTAATACCGTATCTTTTCTAGTTTAGTAACTTGAAAATATCTTCCAATGTAGGGGTGAAGAGTTTCGGGGATATAACGACACTCGACGATACTGTTTTACACTTATCTGCAGTTAAATAGGTTTCGTACTCTCGTTCTGTACTCGGACAGCCATTGCAGCCATACATGAGAAATAAGACGTATTAATAAACGCCTAGTTGTAATGCACATCATGTAATGTATCAGCTGTTTGCGTTCGACAATGCGGCTGATAATGCTGAATTTTAAGTGCTGTGCACTACAAAACGAACGAATGCAGCGGGTTGTCTTTAATACTGCAACATTCAATAGCGCTTTTGCTAGAAATTTTGTCGTAAAGAAAGAGGACCTGACTAGGCGTTATGTTATTAGGCTAGACATTGCCGTTTTAGTCAACGTATTGTAAGGTCATTCTGGCTGAACGTCAGTAACGGTCAGTAAAGTCAGCATTCGTAAATGGCGCCGTATCAAAAAACACTTAGCGCTGCAAGCGCTGGGTTTTTATTAGCTAGGTTTTTTGAATACACCTGATTCTAAATGTTGGCAGTCGCCTGTTCCCACTCGGCCGCCTGGTGGCTACTACATAACGATGATATTCATCGTAGGTAGGCATTCGCCTAACGAAAGAAACATGCATGCGTCTCACTCGCGCTTACAACTTTCATTCACCAGCGCTTGTAGCCTACTCCGCGTCGTTAAATTAATATCACCATTTTTAGTTTTACGCAAATGCCGTAGGATGAATTGTTTTATGTATTTTTAGATATTCGGAAATTTTGCCTATCAGTTATATTTTGTTATATTTTACAAATACTTTCGAGGATAGCTTCTATTCCACTTACACAAAACACCATATTATTTTCCAGACGGTAAAAAAAATCAACCAGTATATGAATATCTTATGTTAATTATAATTTATAATAGTTCATTCTATTTGCGAAAACGCATTAAACTTTTGATACACTTAATAATCCTTTTTTAATACATTGATATAAATAGGTCTTTTCAGGATTGCTTCAACTAGAGCTCTGATGATTTGTCCGTCGCCAGTCTGTGAGATTAGGATCCGACATTTTATAATAATTGTCTATCATTCCCCCTATAGTCTCGTTATTTACTCAGCATTATTAAATTAATACGCATTAGACGAATAAATAATTTTTAGATGAGCTTCAAAAAGTGTTTAAGTTGAAATAGTCGTAGAGCAATGAAAATATGATTAATTTGAAGTATCGTGTTTGGTTTTAAAACATAACATAAAAAACATAAACACTCACGCCTGTCACCCAGAGGGGTAGGCAGAGACTACAGACTTCCATTTGGCACGATCCTGACACACCTCTCTCGCCTCCTTCACATTCATACACCTACGCATACATGCTCGTCGGTTAAGGGTACTCCTAATTTGGCCCGTTTTCAACAAATCGCCAATTTGGACGATAAATGTTAGCCTAGGACGTCCCTTTCTTTTATAACTTTTTTATTACCATACGCGTTGATTCTACTCTCGTGCTTCTTCTGCCACACCCAACTTTCACTACCATACGTTAAAGTAGGGACCAAGACAGCATTGTGAATTGCCGTACGTGCCTTTTTTTGACACATTTTGACTCTTCACAATAGAGTGCAGGGCACCATTTACTCTATTTCCCGCATTCACTCGTCGTTCTATATCCTTATCATATCTCCCATCCCTGCTAAATACGCAGCCCAAATATACAAACTCATCTACTTGCTCGATCAACTCCCCTTCTATTCTTATTTCACAAATCGTTTTACTTTCTTCTCTTTCAAAAACCATAACCTTCGTCTTACTTGCGTTCACTTTCATACCCCTTTCTTTTAATGATCTGTTCATTAATGTAACCATAATTTGCAACTCGGCCGCCGACGACGCAAGGATAACTTGATCATCGGCGTACAAAAGGCATTTGACGGTTAACTCACCCATTCTTAATCCGCATTCTTCAACTTTCAACTTCAACTGTTTGGTTTTAAATTAGTCTAGTTTTCGATCTTGAGTTTAAGTATTTTAAACGTAGATCGATTTTGAGTTGTTTTGAGTTGATCATTAAAAAATAGCGAAAAAAATATTTTGAATTTTGCTTGCTTTTGAAAGTTCCCCAGTACTTAGATTATTACTTTTACGATAACGGTCAACATTTTTTATAGAACATCAGATGACAAATAAAATACTAAAGTTATTTCGGATATTTAAAATTTTTATTCACAGTCGTATAATATAGTTTTATATCAGGTACACTTCTCAGCTCTGGATTTACCTTATTCTTAACTTCTATCGAGACCTATGTGTACTTTTACACGTGCAAAATATATACAATGTGCAAAACACACAAGTGTCACGAGTAACTTAAAGGTTACCTATACATATAGAAGTTTTTATATCTTATTGTTATGTGGCACACGGAAACGGGCTCTTAGTGTTTAGTTCTGATGGTCAACGTTTTACCATCAAGGGAGATGGGCCCCGCATTCCAGCTACGTAGCACGTTGCCTTTGTAACCGTACGAGGTACCGGATAACGTAACCCAAGGAGTAGGTTGTGATAGATGCACATGATAAGGAAGAGAGTGAATCATGTGATATTGTTGCGGGAAGAGCGGAGCACTCTCCATAATGGGAGTGAGCGTCGGTCCGTGTGCGTAGGCTTCATGAGCGATCGGGTTGAGTTGAGCTATTTGAGTCTCGTGCTCAACGTTCACGGTAGGAGTAATTGGGCCCATATTGAGCATATCATGTGACAATAGAGCTAGGTGTTCAAATTGTGGAGCTACGTGTTCAACTTGTGGAGCTATGTGTTCAACTAGTGGCGCTACATGTTCAATTTGTGGAGCTATGTCTTCAACTAGCGGCGCTACCTGTTCAATTTGTGGAGCTGGCTGTTCAACATGAGCAAGTGAGGCTAGATGCTCATGTGCCGGTGCGTAAATAGGAGCTTCAATATGCTCTTGTTCCACCGGAGTAATTTGTTGATACACAGCCGATGCTGGGTGTACACTGGGTTGAGTTCGTTTGACGACAGCGTTAAATCCAGTGACGGGGTCGGCAGTGTACTCGACCATTCGTACGTTGCCGTCGGGCTCTACAAGTGAGTAAGCTCCTTTTACTACATCGCCATGACGTCTCTCCCATTGCACCTTGTTGTCACCGGTGGAGGGATCGTTGACTGCGTAGTTGAATTCGTAACTCGGGTCCGGCTGAAGAAAAAAACAAATCAGTGTATTTTACTTACGCAACTTCAATTAACTAGATGCTTTACGTATTCTACACAGAGCTAGTATATTGTCATTAATTCAACGTAATCGACGTGAACAGTCTATGCACTAGTAGTTATTAGGAATTTATTTTTATAACGTACAATTTTTTCGATTGTTGCAATATTCATGACACCGAGTGACGTCGGGTGTGCTGATGTCGTTACAGTTAATGCCAGAAGGCAACATACCTGAAACATAAAAGAGGTTTGTTAATTATTATATTTTTCATAATTAATGATATTAATTATGAACAATATAATACTATGCTGTTTACTGAGATTATTTGAAGTAAAATTACAATTGTAGCTTATGATTAAATTTATTAACCTAAGCATTCTTTTAAGTCGGCATAATTAGGTAAAAATCATCATCATTACAGTCCTTCACAAGTCCAATGTTGAACATCGTCCTCTCCCCCAAGGAATGCCTCAAAGCACGGTTCTGAGCCACTTGCACTGATCGACTTCCTGCATATCTTACCAGGTCGTCACTCCATCTAGTGTGGCCGCCCTACACTTTGACTGCCGGCAACGAGGCTGCCACTCTGAGAACCATTCTCCCCTACCGGTTGTCGGCTCGTCGTGCTGTATTGCCACTTCAGCTTACTAATCCGTTGGACTATCTCGGTTACTCTAGTTATACTGCGGATATCTTCGTTTCTAAGTTTATCACGCAGAGAAACCCCGAGCACAGCCATCTCCATAGCTCGTTGAGTGACCTTGAGCTTTCTCATACGGCAAGCAGTGAAAGATGTCTCAGACCATAATTCACCACAGGCGACACGCACTGGTTGTACGTTTTCAAGATTTATGGTAAACCTGAATTAGGTAATATAACGAAGATTTCGTCCGTTTTTATGCGACAAAATGTATAAAAAAAGATAAGGATTTAATCTGAAGTCGGGAAATTTTAAGTAAACTATTCACTTATTATAAACGTAGTGATCTTGCTAGTTAACTTATTGAAGTTCGTAGGTGATGATACACTGTTAGAGCAGAATTCAAAAATAAAACGTTTAATAATTACCGCCAAATATTTGTTCATATTGCCGACAAGGTAATCCAATAAGCAATGGAAGTGCACTGTGTTTTTGTTGTCATAAACTTGCCAATTTATACTACACTAATTATTCGATTCGACTGCACTCCGGTTTTGTCCGCTATCTCGTTTCCACGGATGGATTGACATGTATGCCTTGTAACTCGTAAATTAAGCGGACACCTACGTTCATAACAACAACAGACTAGTTACGGCCCGCTAAAGTATACAAATTAGAGCGCTAATTAAATTAGTGAAATATTCAATAAGTAAAAAGTTTTAGAATAACGTTTTATTTATCAATGAGTTATTCGTAGGAGTACAAATTATTTAAAATCTAATAAGTAACATAACATAAACACTCACGCCTGTCATCCAGAGGGGTAGGCAGATACTATAGACTTCCATTTGGCACGATCCTGACAGACCTCTCTCGCCTCCTTCACATCCATATACCTACGCATACATGCTCGTCGGTTAAGGGTACTCCTAATTTGGCTCGTTTTGAATAAATCGCTAATTTGGTCGATAAATTTTCGCCTAGGACATCCCTTTCCGACTCTGCCATTCACTTCCGCAACATAAATTTTCTTTGTCACTCTTTCCTCATTCATTCTTTCCATATGATCAAACCACCGAAGCATTCCTTTCTTAATCCTGGTCACAACATCATCTTGCAAACCACACTCTTCTCTTATTACACAATTTCTCACTCTGTCATTCAGATTCAGCCCTAACATACTCCTTAATGACCGCATTTCTACTACGTTAATTCTACTCTCGTGCTTCTTCTGCCACACCCAACTTTAACTATCATACGTTAAAGTAGGGACCAATACAGCATTGTGAATTGCCATACGATACGTGCCTTTTTTGACACATTTTGACTCTTCACAATAGAGTGCAGGGCCCCATTTACTCTATTTCCCGCGTTCACTCGTCGTTGTATATCCTTATCATATCTCCCATCCCTGGTAAATACGCAACCCAGATATACAAACTCATCTACTTGCTCGATCAACTCTAATAAGTATTAAAAGCAAGACCGGGTTTAACACAGAGCGCTTCTTTTGTAGCTTCCTTTTTATGGGCTTCCCAGGAAATTGTGCAATGAGGGCATCCACGACTTTTTCTGCCACCAGGGCGGCACCACATAAAATTAGGTGTAATATTTGACAGATGTCATAGTGGGGAAGTTAATTTTTTTCGAAAAATCTAAATGGTAATTTCTGTCTGTGTTAGTTATGTTTTACATTAATTAGATTAATAATAAATAAACCAAACCACATGTAAATTAATTTTTTTATAAAAATAGAAAGACTAAAAAAATGTTAAAAATGTACAAAAAGTTAAACAACAAACCACAGAGGCATTGCTTTGTGTATTATTATTATACTCTAGAAACTGTTTAACTTTTATTTAAAACTAAACTATCTTGCCAGGCAGACGTTGTGCCTTTTCGACGACAATTTGTCTTGTCCTATTAAAAATCCTTAAATTCGCAAAAAAAATTGTGGGCAAAAAAACTCTCTCAAGTTAGACCAAACTGCACATGGTGTGCAAATTTGATTAAAATCGGTAAAGTAGTTTAGGAGTCCATCGCGGTCAAGCAACGTGACACGTAATTTATATATATTAAGATTATCAATGAAATGACTTTGTTAAACAAAAAACTTCACCTCAGTGTAAACTAACGACATCTGGTGACCGTAATATTATTAGCCCTCATTGGATCACCAGTTTTCAGACCTGAGCATCAAAGCTGTAGTAGACGGTGTATCCTCTGATAACAAGCCTGTAAATGATAGTGTTCCACAAGGCTACATGCTATCACTGACTCTGGTCATATTTATTTGCTATACGGATGAAAGCATTAGTGATGCTTTTAATGCCAGCCTTGCCAATATTTCTCGAGAATACGTCGCCGAATACCGTAACAAACATGTGTCGGAAGTCGAGTCTTTGCTAAACAAAGTCTCGAATTAGGGACCATTAAATCTAGTTGAGTTAAACCTCTAGAAGACACAGATTTGTGCATTTACCACTGAAAGGGGTTTCCCTATGTCGTATCTCTTCAAGTTTAGGACACTCTTCTTGCTGCCTTAGCCAGCATAGGAATCCAAGGCGTCGAGATATCGCATGACGTGCAGTTTCGTTGTCACTTGAAGGGGAGACTAAATTGGCCTGTAAAAAGCTTGGCATGCTCAGTATAATGGGACAGTATTTCATGCCGGCACACCGTTTGCAATTTTATAAGGTGCAGGTTCGGCTTCACATGGAATTCTGTTCTCATCTCTGAGCCGGGACACCCCAGTGCGAGCTCCTTCCACTTGACTGCTTTCAGCGATAACGGCCTGAATCGTTGACGACTGGGTTCTTGCTGATTGGCTCAATTTACTGGCGCTACGAAGAGATGTTGCATCATTTTCCATTTTCTTTAGCATTTGCCACAGTGAGTGCTTTTAGTAATTGTTCGGATTAATTCCACCCGCCAAATTTTACTAAAGCACATCGCGACTAAACTCACGATACGAACCATGCCATCTGGATCCTTGGCGGTCTACCACTGTGCAATTCACTAGGAGTTTTCTTCCTCGCATGAGTTCTTTGTGAAATCATTTACTATCTTATTACCCAACCTAGAAAAACGAACTTCTACTTTTTTTAAACCCTGGCAACGCACCTGCAAATTCCTTAATGTTGCTGTTGTTCATGGGCGGCGGTCGACAATTACCATCAGGTGAGCTGCATGCTCGTTCACCCCCTCTCTAGAATCAATACAGAAAAAGTAAGAGAGAACAAATTACTTTAGGCTTTTATGGTCAGTCTGGTGTTGTCGTTCTTATGTGTTTTTTTAAGAATAAGAATGACAAACGAGTACACAGTTCCCCTGATTGAAAGTGGATGCTGTGACCCACATCTACATCGATGCTGTATTAAAAATAAAAATGCAGATGCGTTGTCACTTCTGAGGACTAAAATGGAATGCCTCATTTCCAGTTAAAGGATCCCTGATTCTCTATACTCACCTTACGAAGCCCAGCAGCATTGAGCTTCTATTTTCCGCTGGTATTCTGTGAGTCCTTCCCCGGTCGAGCCGAGCTATTCGTGTTACAACTGGCTCTACTACGTAAAATGTATTGTTTGCATTAGACTTATTAGTTATTCTAGAACCACTGCTTTGTTAGAGTTTGACTTGATATTTTTAAATCACAATATAGATAATTCAAAATTCTACAATGGGTTTTGCATTCATTTCATTCTCATTGAATCAAGATGCAGATGTACTGTCAGTTGTCACTCCGGAGTAATGAGATGGAATGTTTCTTTAGCATTGAAATAATTTTATAATGTATGCCCGAGCCTGGAGAGTTATCTATATTTATAATAGAAAATGTGTGTGTGTGTGTGTATGTGTGTGTGTGTGTGTGTGTGTGTGTGTGTGTGTGTGTGTGTGTGTGTGTGTGTGTGTGTGTGCGTGTGCGTGTGCGTGTGCGTGTGCGTGTGCGTGTGCGTGTGCGCGTGCGTCGTTGTTGCGCGTGCGCGTTTCCGTGTGTGCGTGTGTGCGTGTGTGCGAGTGTGCGAGTGTGCGTGTGTGCGTGTGTGCGTGTGTGTGTCATATGACGATGATTATAGTACATGAATGTGTATGCAAGTACAGATGCACTCTCCAATCCCTCATTTTCATAGTCCGATGGGACGGCATCCAACATGATCGCAGAGAGATTAGGCGCATTACCAACGCCTTTACTTGCTTTCCGAGACACGAGAGTAAAAACCTGACACTGAGAATTTCTTTATAAAATAACTCAGCTACTGATTTTATCTGAAATTCGAACGAGGAATCACATAACCCAGCAATCATGCTTACCACTACTAGATCAACTACTAACTCGTAAGCATGACCACTAGACAAGCCTGGTTTTTTATTAACTATCATGGTCGGCTGGTTCTGCTTCCCTCGAGGTTGTGGAGTTCCACTGAGTTATTTATCAAGAGTTTATCAGCAGAAAAAAGCGTTTTATATGATGACAGGGATCCTTTCTTGCAGAAGTTTCCATCTGTATAGGTACAAATCTCTCAGGGTTTTCTGGTTTTACCTCTATCAATTTTAAACACTTGGGAGCTTTCATCAGCAAACAAAATTTACGTTTCACATAAATTTTAAATAAAGAAAGTAAGATCATGTATTTTGATAAAAGAACAAACGTCTATCAGCTTGCTATTATTAATAAAATCAGAATCATTTTAGACTTATGCATTATACGAGTATCTCAAAGGCAAGGGGGCAACTGGAAGAATTTGTAAAGTTCGCTGCATAATACATCTATACTACGTGTACAGTGAGTGTATAGAATGACTGTACATAGTATGAACCGGGGACCCTATTTACTGGAAACGAGGTTACCATCTTAGTCCTCATGGGTGACAACGATGCTTAGTCGAGGATAATTGAAGACGACTATAAGTCACAACATCCACTTACAGGTGGATTGTGTGCTAGTTTGTCACCCTTATTCTATAAAAAATGCAATTGTTTCTTACTGACTCTGGTGGCTTATGTACAGCAGTAGATTTGTGAAAGGCTGTAATGATGATGCTTAGCCTCGGGCCTACCTTGGCTCACTTAAGGTTACTTGTTAAGTAAGTAAAGTTACTAGTTATTATTTATCATTTTAATTTATTAAATAATTAAAGTGTATGCTAACCAAAATCTGCAACTGCTTGCCGGGTATGTTTAACTGCCGCTTACTTCCAATAGATAAAATGTTTAAACGATAACCTACAAGGGAAACAAAAAATCACGGATTTATGTTTTATTTTTTATTGGTATTCATATTTTTTATGAACATACAGTCTCTTATTTTATTTATGTATTCTGTTATGACTATTTTATTACTTTGTGTGTTTACAAATAATAAATAATACAAACCTTCAAATGTATATATAATGACATTATTATTATTAGTGCTTGTTTAAATAAAATATAGAACTAAATATGTTTCATAGCTCTTATGTTTACAGACTTTACTAAAGACTAGATATTTGCTCTTAATTAGTTCATATTACGTACATGGGTATAAACTATTTCAGCTAAAAATAACGCATACTGACAAAATCTTCGATGGTAAAAGATTTTGATAGTAATTATGGTTTAAGGTTTCGTTTTGATGACTATCTTTTTGCCTTTTAACTCAATCGGCCCGGTGTACCACTGGTGTAGCTTTCCGTTTATATAATGGTTGCTGTACACTGTTGCGTAAGGGCCACGGTGTGCGGGACCATTAAGAGGCACCCAGCCGCCGTACGACCTAGTAACAGGATCCCATGGTAGGCTCCAGTGTCCCAAAGAGGTCACTTTGGGGAGTCCTATTGCTAATGGAGCGGCACCGAAACCGTAATTCAATTTTGGATCAACTGGCCTTACCTTGACGGGAGCTAAGTGGGCCACAGGTCCTATGTCAATGGGTGCTAAAGGTATAATAGGGACTACACCTTCCGATGTTTTTGTAAGCAGGGCCTTCACCGTAGCCGGATGTGCGCTGACGCCAATATTCTTTACGATCGCATTAAATCCGCTTATATCATTCGCGGAGTATTCCACAACACGGATGCTGCCATCGGGTTCACGTAATGAATAAGCCCCTTTAACGACATCGCCATTTCTTGCCTCCCATTGTGCTTTATTGTCGCTAGTGAATGGATCGTTTATTGCGTAGTTGAAGGCATAACGAGGGTAATCCTGTTAAAAAGTAGGTATATTACGTTCGATTCGTATGAATTTAAATACTTTGCCTGCCATAAATAGTCATAGTAAATGTGAAAACAACTTACGATTTCGGATTTAAGAGTCTTACGAGATATGCTGCTTCCCGAAATTACCCCTGAAGCCAGCGCCACCAAACACAAAGTCTGAAAATGCCAATAATATGGAATTCGCTATATATATTTTACAATATCAGCATTTATTTTGCAAAAGCGTATAGACACAATAAATCCCTGTAGTTTTGACAATGTAGCTATAGCAAAAATGAAAAGACAATTATATACAAATTCGCAATGTTATGATAATTTGATTTTAAGAAGAAGTTACTAGATTCAAAGAAGTTTAAATAATTTACTGCAAATTTATCCCAAAAGTTCATTTTAATATTGGAATGTGACTACATAATTTCCACACTTAGCTAACGAATTTGGTTTATCTCAACTTATTCTCGCATAGTCTCGTCTCATTTAAAATGACGACAAAAATTTTGAGCGATGGCTAAGTAAACTGTTCTAAACAGATACTATTTAGAACAGTTAATTCGAAGTAAAGTCTAGACAATAAACCGAACGATTATGAAAAAACTAATGCACAAGTAAAAGAATACAAGAAGGATACACTGAGCGATAAAGTTTGATTACCATCAAAAATAAATTCATGTCGTTGAATGCTCTCTGGTCACTGTGAAATGTTGAATGTGTGATTTATTCTACGTATGGCATTTATAAGTGTATCGATTGCTACTGCTGAAGGAATTTTATTAAGAAAACCAACCGCGCTTGTTTCTTTACCCTGGTGTGACATAAGCATGACCTGCTTTGCTCGGCACGGTGGAACAGTGGGCTTGGTACACGCACCGTGTTGTGCCGACTGCAATGCGTAATGTGTACATAATTATTTTAACTTTTTGTTCCTACTAGTAAGTAGTACACACAGGAGTGGGATGTTAATTTTTTTATAGAATAATTGTGACAAACTAGAACATTTCTCCTGATGGTTAGTGGATGCGGTGGCCCATAGATATCTACGTTTATCCTCGATTAAAAATCAAAATGCAGATGCGCTGTCACTCCTGAGGACCAAGATGGAATGCCTCGTTTTCAGCCACAAGGGTCTCCGGTCATCTTTCATTATACGAAACACGACAGCATTAAGCTGCTATTTTACGCTGGTACACTGTGTGTAGTCCTTCCCCGGTCGAGCCGACCCATTTTTGTTACAACCATAATCGCTGCAGCATGGCTATTAAATAAAATTTTTACTATCTGTCATTTTACGAAGCCGTGAAGCTCGACTTTTTAATACGTACTAACCATCTAAGTATTTTCTTTTGAAAATTGTGAGTGATGTTGCAGACCTCGGTGCTGCCTTGCATTGTGCGTATTCGTCAACTATACTGTTAAACCTTTCGACTCCGCACCGCACTTCTATCTCAGCATTCAGCAACTTCAATAGCTCGTAGGTTGCGCTATATAACGGCCCAAGTCATAAAACGGCGCGCACATAAGAAAATGTTAAAGAATGATCACCTTTACGCCTTATATGTAAAAATGAATCTTTGTTTGTTTGTATGAAATAGATTGATTGCGTTAATTGCACTTTGGGAGATAATTTTGATTATAGTAGATAAATATTGGGTGCGTTTGGCAGAAAAAAGCGCTAGCAAGCGCTTACAAGCGCTGAAATAGTTTTCGGCCAGGACACTATTTTTACTTCAGTACCGCTGACACAATCCGCCATTTTGCTTATTTAATTTGTTTGTTTTGAAGTAGAGTTTATAAGTTGTTTTGTGCAATATTAGTTTTAAGTAATATAATAACGTGAATAAACATATACATGTTATTAAAAATTCATGATTGGTAAGTTTTTAATATGAATACTTTACAAACATATATTTAAATTAGGTTAGGTTCCCCAGTTAAAACTAACATCGTGTCCTGGAGGAAAATAGCTACTTACGATTTGACAGCGTTTACCGCTTACGATCGCCATTTTGCTTACCAGCGCTTACTAGCGCTTTTTTCTGCCAAACGCACCCATTGAAATATAATGTATATTTATCACAATTATCCTTGAATTGTTATAATTTTCTATTGAGTAATTAGCTCATAAAGAAAGAAAAATTATTGTCGGTGTAGATAAAAATTGGAAAATGGAATATTTGAAAATGTTGGCTTCTTTAATAACGTTCTAATTAAGGTAATCACAATCCCCGGCAAAGACCAATAAAATATGTAGATATTGAATACTTTGTAAAATATTAAAGAAATAATAACACCAAAACAAAACTTGCATACAGGATGAAAAATTTTCATATTATGTTATTAATAACTATATGAATATTTATCCTGGTTTAGATATTAATTACACCTCCAATAATTTTGTGCGTCTTAAGTCTTAATACCTACTATTTTTATTTGCTATTTTTAATGGGAATCTTCTAACATTTGTGCATTTCCTATAATTTGATAGAATCAAAATATATAAGGCTACCATACGTCCCCTAAACCGGGTTTATGTAAATGTAACCCCGGTTTAAAGCGATACGTCCCCGTGTCACAGATAGTAAGAAAAAATGGCACGGTACGATAATAAGGAGATATTAGTAGGGAATGCAATCCAGCACCCAAAAGATAATCTTGCAAATCTGCAAGATTGAGACCATCAGTCCCGCGGATCCGCAAGATTTGCAGGATTTTACAATATTTTAGAATTATTAGCCCACAAAATTATTTTAAAAGTCAGTAAATGAAACAATCGAATTTACTTAGAAGAAACAAATAGTATAATTGACTTTTGATCAGAAATAATGACAAAAATCTAAATTATGTTATGTGAATTAAAGTCTGAAAAAAATATTAATGAGATTCGGACACTTGCATTTGAAATTGTTTTCGGAGTATACGTAAAGTGTTAAAATTTTCATCTTTTACATTTGATCGGATTTTGCTGCACCTGTAGCCAGCAGCTGAAAATGCGCGTTCAGATTCAACGCTAGTAGGTGGAACGGACTTAACAAAGTTGCAAGTTGCTTCTAGATACTTCCCTCTTGTTTCCTCCACATTCAAAAAGAGTCATGTTACGGCCCTGAGTTACCCCGACAAAGGTCGATTGAGCGGGCCCATCAGTAACCCAATTCGACGAGTAACTAGAGGGTCGGGCCCAAAATGGCCTATGGATAATTAAAAAAAAGATAATAAAATTATAACGGCTAGACACGCAAACACAAAACTTACCGAATTCCAGAAGTAGGGTCTACCACAAGGTGGCGTCAGGGGCAAGTAAATGGTAGTGTGTGTGGGTGGGTGTGTCGCAACCTGACGTCACCGATACAATCAGATAGCAGCTCCACGTGCGTTGACCGCTCCACAAGACGCTCACCGCTATCGGAACTCAAGTCCAGCGTCACTTAGTACGAACTATAATCGCGCGCGATCTACACACGGATCACAAAGTTCAGCGCTCCACACGTAAGCAAAATTCCTTCGTACACTTTAACTAATTTATTTTAACTTTGATTAACTACACAAGCCGATCGTCGACACAAATTAATAGCAATCGACGTTAAAATAGTCAATCACACTCAAAATTCAAAAGCCTCGTTGTCACATATATTAAAGACAAAATACAACAACATGGAGGCCGTCGATGTGCGACGCAACAACTATTATGTAACGCCCGACGTCTAACTGGCACGGCTGGCACTTTCTCGTTTTATTATAAGATTAAATGATACCGCCGGCTGTTGAGTAGTTGAAGATAGATAGAGTAGTTTATATAGCACAGTTGATGGTGTGTTTTCAGAAGTCGTCCAACTTTTTTCAAAACTGCGGCACCGTCGGTTGTGATTGAAACAACACTCGGTCCAAAGAAATGTTAAACTCTTGCAGCTTTTTTTCAGAGCTACCGCACAGGCTTCTGTTGAAAAACTGCCCAAGATACGAGCCAGCCCCAGATTCCAAAAAACGGCTTTTCCATTCGTCAATATGTGCATGTTTACGTCTAAATGTCAATGATTCCGAGAAGTGGTCCATTCGTCAGATGTTATTGCAAATCGTTTCTCACTGTTTTTTGAAATCTCTAAGTTCAACAGTAATTTGCTTTTGAGTTGAAGCACCACACTCCATTACAATAGATCTCATTGTATGAGCAGAGGTAGGCAATTTATGGTCTTCTGCTTCAATCAGTTCTCGTTAGTCGATCTTTGTCGTAAACTTTGAGAATGGTATGCCATCCTTAGCGACCATCGTGATATATTCTCTTCCATGGAACATTTTGCTGACAAAAAATCTGATGACTTTTACCTTTTTAGCCGGCGTTATAGTATTTTGTTGCGAATGCTGCTGAGAAGAGCTTGTACTGGCGGTTTCAATATCACTAACGCTACATACAGATTCCTCTGTTATCTTATACTTAGTATGCAAGTATACTTGCAAGCCCTTAGTAGATCGAGCGCTTATTTTGATGACAGGACAACGTTTACACTTAGCAGAAAGGCCATCTTCCGATCTTAAGAAGTGTTGTCATACAAATTTATTACTGTCGTATTCCTTATAAATTACTTTAGCATTCATTTTTAAGTTCGCAATTCCAACTTTACTTATAGCCAGTTATTAATTAATTAATTTTATTTAGATAGAATGTTATGATTTCTTAAATTAAATAAATTGAAAGATTTTTTTAATGTTGCTGTTCAAATATAAAAATAAACCAAATTTGATTATAGTTTTAATAAATATTTTTTGAGAATTTCTTATCCGGAGAGCCCAATAACTGATTTTGGTCCGACCCGTGATGCGAACCAACCATTCGGGACTACATGAACAGCAGTCGTGCTTATGATGTCTAAAACCACAAATGTTGTGCACATTGGGTACCAAAGTTTTGTTAAACGTATCGCCTCATTACGAAGGAATTACAACCGAAAATATATACTCGGTACCCATAATCGCTATTTAATATATTAACTTAAGAAAACACTTTATTTTACGCTAGTTTCTGTGATGGCGTGGTACTTACTCGGTCGAGTCGACCCATTCGTCACCATAATATAGCTGTAGCGTGACTACCACCTAATTTTATACTCCTTCTGGAGTATAAAAATTAAAGAGTTGGAACCCGAACACATAAATAATGTTGAATCGCCATAAGTCATGGAAGTATGACTCTTGTACGACGTACCATGAGAATCGTTTGCGACGAGAACCTCAATGACATGACGCAGATTTTAATTATATTTTAATTATATAGATTTTTATTACATCTCGTACTTCAAAATCCGTCCTAAACGGATCTAGATTCTAGATCACTAAGAGACGGACAAAATACATTTATAAATTACATACATATGCACACGCATTTAGTCAGGTACACATATTATATAACCAAGAAAAACATAACTCTCTTTCTCGAATAATTGGGTAAATAATAAAACATTTATAAAAAAAAACGAGCTACCACACACAGTAGCCAATATTAGCCAATATTTTTTATTCGTGCACGTATATTTTTGATAAAATTAAACAATTTGATAACTAAAAATATTTTATTGTTAAATTTATCACTTGGCTTACGTCTTTGACAAGAGTAGGTATTTTGTAAATTTTACAATCACGAACGGGAAATTAAACCTAGAATTTATTTGGAGCCTTTTATTAGTTTTAAATGTCAGGTATAGGCCATTGTCTTTTTTCTAATTTCAATGTTTCCATCCTATACCCAATGAATCCCACGAAGACGAAAGTTGACCATATCCAATGTCATCGTTGGAACCCAAATCAAGCAATGAATCTTGCATCAAACCTTCTCCTAAGTAAGGTTTTAGGTTCTGTGAGTCTTTTAGAATATTCCACGGCGCAACCAAACCGTAATATCCTGATGATGGTCCGGGTTTTCCTATCGATGTATACACTGATGCCGGGATGGACATTGTTTTATAAACGGGTTCATTGAGAATTTGCTTCTGAAAAGATGCTCTAAGATACTGTTCAGTAGTTATAGGCTGTGACAAGATAGGAGCTTTTATAATCTGTTCTGACAAAATCTCAGTAACCGGCGCTACTGTTTTAACTATTGGCGTAGCCTTGTACACTGCTGCGGATGATACAGCACCACCGTACGAAGAGCCGCCGATGAAAGGTGCATTAGATAAAGTGTTTCCTTTCGCTACTGCACCTACATTTATAGGGGCAACTGAAGCTCCGTAACTTAAAACGGGAATGGGTGCTTTGTAAACCGGTGCAGCGACAGGTCCAACACGTTTTACGACTGCGTTGAACCCCGATTTTGCGTCTGCCCAGTACTCTACAACTCGTAGACTGCCGTCAGGCTCCACCAGAGAATATGCACCTGTGTTGCAAGCAATATTGTTATTATTTTTTAAACCAAATTAGGTTATAGTTATGTGCATAAATAAGAAATAGAATTTTAGAACTTAGACTACTCAGTGCTCACCTTTCACAGTGTCTCCATCTCGTTTTTCCCATTGTGCTTTATTGTCTCCTGTGTGGGGATCTTTCACCGCATAATCAAATGCGTAGCTGGGGTACGACTGTAACAACGAATGTAGTTACAGTAAAAGAGCATTTCAGCTAGAATTGGTAGCCTATAAAAAAATTTGTTTGCTCTGATTATTTTCTTTAAAATTAAGTACCAAACAAACTTACAGTCTACCAGATGTTAAGTGGTTCCTGGCTTTGGACAGACCTTTTCTTAAATAATTCTGTTAAATATTTTAAATTTAAGCAGACATAAAATTAAGAGGTGTTGAGTATTCTGTGTAAGGCTTTAAGCTTAAAGCTTTTAGCTTTTAAGTTAATCTTATTTTTTTTAAAAGACTTACGTAGTAGTCAGGAGACGAATGTCCCGGGGCATAGATGAGCCCGTCTAGCGTGCCATCACCCTTGCTTGTTACTGCAAGCGCAAGTAGGCACGTTATCTGTGGAATAGCAATTAGCACTTATATTCACTTAAATCATCAAATTGCTTCTTGTTAATGTGTACTAAAAATAAACACAAACCGCTAAACAAAATTGCATTATGTGGGAGTTGCGATGGCCACCTGATCAAAAACGTACTGGTTAGCAAGGAGCAACGTAGTCCATTTATAACCGATATCGTTAGACCTTCATGTCCTGATATCGAACGGATGTTCGCGTTCACGCTTCTAGTGTCTGCTTCAATATTCAATACTTGCATCATTTTACCTTATTTTCATACAATAACCTTCGATTGGTGAAAACGTAAATACGTAAATATTATGAACGATTCTACGGGCTTAACAACTAAGCCCAAGAATATTGACGAATTTAATTCATATGCATTGTTACTTCTTGTAATCAAACTCCCTATAACTTACTGTAATAAATGCATCCGATATATTTAAAAATACTCTCAATAATACTAGTTCTTCTTAAAAAATAAACATTGGATTAGGTACAATAACCAACATAGTAATTAAATTGTGCTGTTTCGAAATAATATGCTATTGGTGAACTAAGAAGACTTGACTTAACTTTAGATCACTGTCTCCTTTAGTCACTGTAATTGTTTATACGTGGTAGATGGCTGCAGTTATATTATTAGTATAGTTGCAGCACGAATGGGTCGGTTCGACCGGGGAAGGACCACGCTCTCACGGAATACCAGCGTAAAATAGCAGCTTAATGCTGTCGTATGGTGAGTGTAGAGAACCGGAGAACCGTTTTACTGGAATCGAGGCAATTCCATCTTAGTCCTCAAGGGTGACAACGCATCTGTATTTTGATTCTTAATTGAGGTTAAATGTAGATGTCTATGGACCACAGCATCCACTTACCATCAGGTGGACTCTGTGCTCGTTTGTCACCCTTATCCTATCATATATAACGATGTCATATTGAATATGACATCGTTAATATTTTGTTGTTCCAACCTGGGCTAAAAGCACAGGTTGTACGGAGACATTGAATTAGTTGCGGTTTTAAACTGTTGTTAATATTTGTTCGTACGTGTAACTTGAATACCGATAATTCTTGATGCGTATCATACTTTATGCAACTTAAACAATATGTTTTAATGAGGATTTGCTCTAATTGCGTCCAACCGTGGCACCGAGGCGAGGGCAGCAGCTACGCGACTGTGAACGATGTGATTGAACGAATGGAGTCGTCTTCACGATTCTTATCATATGTTTTACATAACGTCAATAGGCTTGTATTATGCTATCTCCCTTTTGATACTTTTATATGTGTGTAAACTTGTTAAATTGAAGACACGTCTGGATTTCAAATTTAACTTAAGTATGGTTTACAAATTATTTTATACGGCAGCAAAAATTAAAAACAAAACTAGTAAAATCGAATATTTGGTACTTTCGATTAATATAAGAAATGCAATTGGATAACATTTTTCTAAACACGTATTGGAATCTCTATTCTTACGTTTATTTACTACATTACAAGAGTGTAAAAATACTTAAGTTTTTTCCATCTCAGTTCTCAGGGGAGGCAACGCACTTGCATTTTGTTTCTTTATCGTGGATGTCTATGGATCACAGCATCCACTTACTATCAGATGGACTGTGTGCTCGTTCGTCACCCATATTTTATAAAAAATCTTCCAACGGATAGGTCTTTATATCGTCACGGATAGAGAACATCCAATGCCTATATCGCACCTGTGCTAATAGTAGACGACGCTCAAAATTCTTGACAGATTATCTGACTAGGCAAGTCCAATTTCAACCATGTCAATAATCTCTGGATCCAAATCGGCAACACAGCGTTCGGGAAATATCACACATTTCTTCCAAATCTTACATGTGTGCGCAGGTGATGACATATACGTTCATAAAGCTATGCATTGCTCGAATGTTGAACAGCGACAACAGCAGTAAATTCGAAATAACGAATTGTTAAACTGAAGTGACAAAGGGTCATATAGTTTGAAGAACTGAGAATCGATAGGAAAAAAGTTCCTCGAGTGGTAGCTCTCAGCTCGGAGAAGTGGCAACTTGGTACGACATGCATGATGTCGATAGATCGATGCAGGATCATATTTTGTGACATTTCTTGGTTTATAACTTGGTAGAGTTACGCTGTAGCTATAATAATGGTATATTTATATCGACTCGGCCGGGGAAGTACCACGCTATCACAGAATAACAGCGTAAAATAGCAGCTTAATGCTGTTGTGTTTAGTATGGTGAGTGTAGAGAACCGGAGACCCTCTTTATTGTAAAAGAGGTATTCCATCTTAGTCCTCACAATTGACAACGCACCTGCATTTTGATTCGCAAACGAGGATACATGTAAATGTCTATGGGCCACAGCAACCAATAACCACAGGTGAACTATTTGCTCGCTTGTCACCGGTTTGTAATGATGATGATACGAAGAAAAGTAAACATTAGCTTATGACAATAAAACGCATTACAGTAGTCAAATCAAAAGAAATAACGTATTAATAACAATTTATTTATATTTGTAGTGAATATGTTTATATTTATATTTGTAGTGAATGTGTTTAAGTAATTACTTAAACAAACAACTTAGCGCTTTAGTAAACTTGTACGTACAGGGCAACTAAATTACGAATGTTGTTAGCGATGCGTAAAAAAATCGAACTGTTGTATACGCAAATTTAATTTTTATTAGCATGTAATTATTATTTACCGTTTTATTTCATAATAGTGCTAATTGTTATTTCGCAACTGCAGTAATAATCTTGTGAATATTGGTATTCGTTACGTTGGATGCCTCGCACCTTAGAGCACTAGTTATCGTCACCGGTTATGTCTGATTTTAAAACGAATATATAAACCCCACTATCGAGCCAAAACATTTATTTGACATTTTAGCTTATGATACCTTAATACGGGTGAGATTTTCAGTGTTTTTACATTGAGAGCATACGACTAAAATTGCGGCTATAATATTTTATTTATATCTTAAGGTCTTGAGTTTCAAACTGCATTGAATATATAAAAGTTATAATTAAAAATAGAATAGTTCTATTTTTCTTAACATGTTCTACTACCTGTTTGTTTTGGCATTTTTTTGCATGAATCAAAACGATCAATAATTTTAAAGAAAAATTATACGGAAGTTATTGGTGTTCGTTTTCAGTACCACATTATTTAGTTTTTCCTTACACGTTACGTTTTAACGTTACATATTTACCACCATTAAATATTTGTAAGTTTTCACTGAAAATTTAAGGCGTTAAGATTTATAGCTAAAACTGTATGAAATTATTAATTTTTATTATGATGTATTAAGTATATTTTATTTATATCTATTAATTTATTTTTTCTTTGTTAGTTATGTCAACTGTACTAATGTTAAACACTCCACTCAACTCAACTCCCAGCGGTGCAAGATAATGGAGAAACAGGACGCCAACTTAACTTGACATATGTCAAAAACTCAAAAATATATCTTATTGTTTCTTGACCTTACAAAGGTGATTGATACTGTTTCAATAACTTTCTTAATTTCAAAACTGCAATCTTTGGGAGTAAGAGGAATTCAGTTATCTCTATTCCAAAGTTATTTAAGTAATAGAACTCAATGTGCTAGGATTGGTCCTTATAGTAGTTGTGACCTGCAAATTACTTACGGCGTTCCACAGGGAAGTGTTCTTAGCCCAAGTTTGTTTTTTATATACATAATGACTTGTGTAACATAATTTTTTAAACGGAATGATCTTTTCTTACGCAGATGTTACAGCACTGTTTTCACTTAAATACTTGGACTGAAACTTATACTTTTGCTCAAAGGGTTTGACATTGTAAAAAACTGTTTGAACGCTCATTTACTTTGAACATAGAAAATACAAAATTAATTAGACTTCTCTATTCGAAACACATAAACTTCAATAACAAATTCATTACAAATAGTTGCTAAGCTACCCCTGGATATAAGTACCAATAATTATTTACACTATATAAAAAAGTGGCATCTATAAAATATCTGGGCATAATAATTGACAATAACCTCATATTTAAAGCTTACTTTAAACACCTGTCAAACGGTCCGTAAACTTACAGTATTTTTAAACAATTCGCAGAGTCAGAAATTGAACGTGCACAGAGAGCTGTTCTAAAAGTATGTTGTTTTAAACCTCCTATGCTTCCTACATACCAACTTTATGACTATTGCCAAGTACTAACAGTTAGGCAATTATTCATTTCCATAAAACATTAAATTATTATTCATAATGACAAATGTGTAAGAGTTAACTTTAGCGTAGCATTTTTATTAAAATATAAAGTTAGTTATATTTTAATAAAAATATTTTAAAAGGATTAAATAGTCTTAGGCAATATAAGTTATAGGGCTATTATTCTATTTTATATTCGATCTACGGCATTTTGCGGTATACGGACCTTGATCGATTTTGGGATCGTGTTCAAATTAATTAATTAAAATTGAAAAAAAATATTCAGGTAGCTTACAATTGTGTTCTTATAATGGGTGAAGGTCTTTCTTCAGTAAAAGACGGCAGCTTTCAAGCTTTCCGAAATATTGACTGTCCAGAAATCGAGTTACAATAGTCAGCAACAAAATAAAGTTACAGTTTATGTATATTAAATATTTCACCAGTGCCCAATTTCTTCTCATTGCTGAGAGGGCAAGGAACTTTCCGACGCTTTGATCCAATTCATGTTAGCGGATTTCACATATCTTCAAATTATTTTTATATTTCTTCGAAATGCCGTTTTACCTACAGTGTTTTATTGTCGCCATCGGGCACGTGGTAAATCAGCATTACGTTGGGGGTTTTTTTTATAGATTATGGATGAAAAAGGTGTACACAACCCACCTGACGGTAAGTGGCTGTTAACGTTCATAGACAGCTAAATCTGACCTCAATTAAAAATCAAAACGCAGAAATGATATTTCACACCTGAGTCCTTAGATGGAATTCCTTGTTTCTAGTAAAAATAGTTTCCGGTTCTCTACACTCACTTACCATACGAAACATGGGGGCATTAAGCTGCTATTTTACGCTTGCACAAAGCGCCCATTTGTACTACAACTAAAATATAGCTGCAGCATGGCTCTACCATTTATAATATAGGACTGTGGGAATTGAACACGGCTCAGTTAGCTTTGTGTAAAGTGGATGCAGATGGAAGACGGTTCCACAGGCGTACAGCTGCCTGCCGGCCACGGTGCTGGCGTCTTGCGTGGAGAGCGTGTGGTGCTGCGGCGGCGGCGGGGGAGGCGGGCAGCAGACGCAGCTGTCGCGCGCGCTGTGGCTGTGGTGCGGCGCGCTGGGCGCGCGCGTGTGGCTGCCGCTGCTGCCGCGGGACGCCTCGCGCCGCCCCGACTCCTCGCGGCACACCTTCATGGCCAAGCGCATCATGCTGCCTTTCCATCTTAACATATACCCCTTAAGTAAGTCCTCTTATGTATACATTCATCCAGTACACAATATTTTATGTCATTAATATAGATTTTAAATGAGTTTTTAAAAGCTTAACGGGATTTTATGTTCAAATTGACATTATAAAATAAAAATAAGTTGACAATTACTTACAAAACTCAGGTGTATTGATCACCATGCGTTCATGTGTATTGGATGATTTTTTACCTTCGGAAAAAAATAGGGTGTAGTAACATGTGAACGGAGTAGAATACCTATACACCTAAGGCACTGATATTTTACAAAAAAAAATATTTGTATATTATATAAATCTGATATAAATTTGTATATTATATAAAATATTTAATTTATATATTATATAAATTAAATATTTGTATATAAATAAATCATAGTCAACCAAATACAAGAAATACATTTTGACAGCTGTCAGACTTATTGCACCAAGCATGCCAACCAAAAAATTGCAACGTATAATATTCGATTATTAAAAAACCGATATCGATTATTTACAGTTGATAATCATTTACAGTTTGGTTTGAATAATACCAGAATAAATTAGAAACGGATAATCTATAATTTATTCTGGTATTCAATTCAAGTCATTCAAATTCAAGTCTGGTATCTGATAATAAACGGAAAACACAAGATTTATCGGTTTCTTCGTATTTGTTGTTACTGCTTATTTCTAGGGGCAAAGTTATAAAAACATAGAATTATTAGGCTTAGAACCGCAGTAGGCGCACGCAAAGTGAAGGCATTTCAAGTTAGCCTTTAAAGGCTACGCACGGCTTTCGGTGCGTACGACACTCGAGTCCACGTAGTCGTGTACAGAACTAGAGATGGGCCGAATATTCGTTTTATATTCGGTATTCGGCATATTCGGCAGGTTTACCGAATATTCGTATTCGGCCGAATATTCGGCTAAATCACCGAACATTTTCATAGTGTCTAATGTATTGAAATGTACGAATTGAGTAATGCGATGTCTTTTACTGTTGAAAGTATATTTTATTTATGGGTTAAATCTACTTACTCTAAGAGTGCCTCAAATGCATAAATCTATACATTAATATTTTTGATGCACTATGGATTTATTTCTGATTATGGCAAATAGAAATAGAGATGGGTCGAATATTCGTTTTATATTCGGTATTCGGCATATTCGGCAGGTATACCGAATATCCGTATTCGGCCGAATATTCGGCTAAATCACCGAACATTCGAACCGAACATTTTCATAGTGTCCAATGTATTGAAATGTACGAATTGAGTGATGCGATGTATTTTGCTGTTGAAAGTATATTTTATTTATGGGTTAAATCTACTTACTCTAAGAGTGCCTCAAATGCATAAATCTATACATTAATGTCTTGGATTTATTTCCGATTATGGCAAATAGAAACTTGATAAAATGTTTTGGAATCAAACAAAGAAACATTAAATTACATTAGTACATTTCACTTTACTTTGGTCGTCAGTTTCTCTAAAATAAGTCCAAATAGTAATAGATATAGTAATAAATAGTCATATAATTTTCAATTTTCACTAAGAATAAAATTCTTACGGCTCTTTACCTTATTCACTAAGAATAAAGAGCCATGGTAGGTCAGATGGTTAGCGCTCGCTGTAAATTTCACAGTGCACGACCAAACCGGGTTTGATCCCCGCTGGCACCAATGAAATTATTAATTGCAATTTTAAGTGCTGATTTACAAAAATTTTGAAAACATCGTGAGGAAACCTGCATGTCTGAGAAATAAGAAAAAAATTATTTCGAAGACATGTAAAGTTCGCCAACAAGCCTATTGGGGCAGTGCGGTGGACAATTCCTTGCCCTACTATAACCCTCTCAGAAATGAGCGGAGGCCTGTGACCAGGAGTGGGACATATATAGGCTATAACTTTAACTTTAATTAAGAATAAAACAACGAAATACTTTTTTATCACGATAATAGTCAAAACATAAGCATGTGCCGGCAATTTGCTCAGTACTATATAATGCAATAACATGTCAGGTGTGGCCGGAAGCGAGAGGCACGTATATAATATATAAGTAATATAAGTTTTATAGATTGCAAACCAAAATTTTGGTATATCATTTTTGACTATATGACCTTGCTTTGCATAAAAGGAAAACACGATTTCATGTAATTTTCTCGATAGAAAAAAATTGCAAAGTAGGCTCTAATTATTTACATTTCTTGATGACACCACAATATCTTTACGAATAATTTCATGGAATTATTTTTAAAGCATAGTAAATATCTAAGTTCTCATAAACCAGTTTTTTTAATCCATAACGAAGTTTTGTTAAATAAATAAAAATGTTATTTGGCGCTTACTTAGTTTTTTCCGAGCGCTTGCTCGATATGACTATCTCATAATTTGCGTACTATGAAGTCATTGCAACATTTTCATTTTGACACTCCCGCAGTCGTCCGTTAGCTTCACCGACAAAGGAATAAGCCACGCCCTCAAAACTTCGATTCATTTTCAAGGTATCCTCTTAATTAAGAATAAAACAACGAAATACTTTTTTATCACAAGAATAGTCAAAACATAAGCATGTGCCGGCAATTTGTTCGGTACTAGATGATGCAATAACATGTCGGGTGTGGCGGAAAGCGAGAGGCAGGGTCCTGCGCTAATCCCGTGTGCTTTACGGTAACAAGTTTCGACATAAATTGGTTAAGTCTCGAGGTTATCCTGCCGAATAATGTTCGGCCGAATATTCGGTTCGGTAAAAATTTTACCGAATATTCGTATTCAGTGAAATCCATATTCGGCCCATTCCTATACAGAACTCGTGCAATTTTGCAATAAAATGACGTACTGTGCTGTTAAAGGCTGCCACAACTCATCACATGATCATGAAAAAAATTTAAAAGTCTCATTTCACGGGTCAATACTGCCTAGCATCTTATATTTTAGTAAAAAAAAACATTCATCAAAACAAAATAATAAATAGTAAATTTGACAGACGCCAATATAATGAAAATGTTGCTAGGCATAGTAAAATATTTACCCCATATTTTCTTATTATTGTAATTACATGCTGCCAATATGGGATTATTATTGTTGTATTTTTATTTGCAAATAAAAATACCTACAATATTCACGCATAAGTAGGTATTTTTATTTATTGTTTTATTTGAAAAGTTTGCTCCTTCCGAATCTTATTTCGTTTTAATACAAAAGACCTATTAAGTAAAGTATATTATATATTTATACAAGTATATAATACTATATACTTATATAAATATACCACTTGTAACAGAATAATATAATGACATAATAGATTTGTTAATACATATTATAGCACAAGATATTAAGTAAATAAATAATTTGAATAAAATATTAGTTAACAATATTTATTTTTTAATAATAAAGGTCTATTCAATAAAGTATATTATATTTATATAAATATATAATACTATATACTTATATAAATATATCACTTCTAACAGAATAATATAACAACATAACACATTTGTGAATTATAGCGCAAGGTATTACGTATATAAATAATTTAAATTAAACATTAGTTAACGATTAAGTAATTTTACTTTTCTCAATTTGCAAATAATTAATAAATAATTCTAAACGCAACCTAAATATTAATTCTATGATTTTGCCTACTATTACAATTTCCCCACTTTTTGGGGAAAACGTCATTAACTTGCAAACATTACTAAATTGCTTGTGTGCGTGTGGGCAAACGTAATTATAGGCCTCTTATGCACACATTCATTGTGTTGTTCCTTCAACTTTGAATGGAATTTTGAATGACACTATAACTCGTAAGTCTACTCTATGTATAAAAATTTAAGATTGAAACTAGATTAAAAATAAATTTATTCAATCACTTTCAGTACAACTAGTTAGCTGTCGTTGATTAGATTAATTATTATTTGATTTTCAATAATGCTGTCAAAATTAATGTCTCTTTCAAAGTCATCCATAATCAATTTTTTTTGTTTTTTCTGCCACTTTTGCCTAATCATCCTTTGTGGCATGGGCACATGCTTCAACGAATATAGAAGAAACAGTCCAAAAAGTTAAAGCCGAGTTACAAAATAAGAATACAAACACAAAATCACAAAATTACGTAATTAATAAGTAATTAGTAAACTCCCGAAATGGCGGAAGATTGGAATTATGTAGTGTTTTTTTCAGCGCGGCCTTGTATATGAGTTTTTTGCCTACACAAATTAACGTGGATAAGGTAAAAAAAAATAAACTTGTTTTATTCATGATTCCTGTAATTTAAGGAATTTTAAAAATAAACATTTAATTAAACAAATAATACGTTAAAAAGTTAATCGATAATTTGAATATTTTTACCGATTATTTGAATATTTTTGCCGATTATTCGCATAATTATGTATTCTAATCATCCATACACTACGGTAAGGTACATAGCGACATATCATTGAAATCACGTCAAGTAAAAAAGTTGATACTGATATTTTTTTTTAAATATTTTGCTTTGTTTTAAAGATTAGAATTTAAATCAGTGATAAAAAACTATACACGTTATAATAAAATATAGTTCACTTCATAATACTTCGGATTTACGTAAAAGGATATTTTAAATAGTTTGAGTATGCTTGTGCAAAGTTATTGCGAAATGATTAATGTAAAATGTTAAATGTCTAAATTTAGTAGGCATCTTTTACCTTGTCACTTCGCAGGGTCACAGGCTCAAAGGGAGAGCAAAGTAATTGTTCAAAAAATTGTTTCTAACGTTTTATACAATTTTTTTGTTTATATATATACCTATATATATATATATATATATATATATATATATATATATATATATATATATATATTGATGAAATATAAATTTTATAGTCTGTCGCTATCGCTAGTTTATTGCTCGACCTCTATATAGACGGCCATTTGCAACCTCACAGGAATTTCAGAGCTGAAAAGTTTGCTACAATTTTAAATTTAGCTAGCTATACTGATTAAAAACTGAATAATCGATGAAATGAAAAATCTGATAAAAAGCAACTCTATATAATATCATATCATTCCTTAAAAATGTTTCATATAAATTTTATATGTAACAATTTTAAGGAATGGTTTATATTTTAGTTTTAAGCTGTTAAATTCGTGTATTATATTTCGATATAAAATATTCATGGAATTCATATTTAAGTGGCTTTTAAATATCTTCATATTTCATGTTCAGCTATACTGTTTGACGATGCAATACTCCTGGGAGCAGAAAATGACACCACCTTATATGCGTCTGACTCTAACTCTGTGTTCTCGTTGCCCTTCTGTGTTGTAAATAGAACGGTGAGTGTAAAATTAAATTATTATTAATTATTTTATTCTTAATACATAAACACTCACGCCTGTCACCCAGAGAGGTAGGCAGAGACTACGGACTTTCATTTGACACGATCCTGACATACCTCTTTCGCCTCCTTTACATAGTAGTTATGTATTATGTATTATGTATTATGTATTTTATTCTTCTACAAATAAAACGGTTACTACTTCTCTTTTCATATTAGCCTGAATAACCTTACATTTATGAATAGAAATAGATATTTTCTTCCATTTAAGGTATAAAAATCAATAGCAACTATTAAGATTATGCCAGCGACTGAATAATCCCTCTGGAATATACATATATCATCATCGTTTTTAAAGCTTTTTTACGACAGTTAGGGTCAGTTTACACCACGATTTTTCACGATGACGACAAGATTCACGATGCTGACGCCAAGCATCGTCGCGTCTCGATGTGAACTGACCCTTAAGCTATATTATGGAGGCATTTTTAATAAACATGAGAAGGTAATTTTTTTTAAAAAACGGACACATTATGTCATAATTGTGATTTTCTTTTTGACGATAAATTTGAGTTTTATAGTTTATAAATGGGTGCCAACGTAATACTTTATCTAAAGATACTAAACAGTGCTGTTAGTACTACTAATATTCCCGCTAAACTCACATTAAACTTAAAATCCTTGTACAATCTAGTTTCGCTGACCGTACTTTTAATCATTTGGTTAATGCCGTTTATTTTGTTTTGACATAATATTATAATAATAAATTTATTATCAATCTTTCCAGAGCCAGGTGTATCTTCACCAAATCCTTCGTCAGTTGCTGCGTCGCAATCTGGGCTACCACGCGTGGGAAATCGCTCGCTCCTGTGCACAGCTGCCGTACTTCCCCCACTCACTGGAACTCCTTCTCCACGAGGTGCTGGAAGAAGAAGCAACTAGCAAGGAACCGATCCCAGACGCACAGCTTCCCAGTGTCATTGAGTTTGTTCACGAATTCCCCGTCTATTTACAGGTCAGTAACAATGTTAATAAAAATGTCTCATTTGTGTTAATACACATACAAAAAATAATTCTGTTATTTACATTGAAGTAATATGTACTTACGTACTATAACAGCTATCTCAAACAAAAAATGTGCGCTACTCTGTGTTCCCGCGGTTGTTTTTTTATCATAGAATAAATATAGGTAGAATGATCCGTAGGTAATAGTAGATTGTATTGTTAAATAGGTAAATTATATCGAGAACAATATTTAAATTTTGTCATTTATATTGTATATTATATTTGCTTATTTAATATAATATTACATGATATTATATCACAATTACATTTTAATGATATTTTTATCTGAATATTTTAAAAAGTATCTAAGTCAAATATAAAAACATACTAAATGTATGTTTAACAAAACTTATTAACACAACATTTAAATTACAAATATATTTATTTAAATTAGAATAAAATTCGTTCATTCGTTCATGGCACGCGAAAGATAAAAATGGACGAATTTATACCACTTTTACTTTGATGTGGAAACCTAAAAATAAAATAAAAGAATAACAAGCATATTTAATCATGAAAAATTTAACCAAATTATACCTAATAAGTTATATTTATTTATTTATTTATAAATTTACCTGTAACACCTTAAGCTAAAGGGTACATAGGGCGGACTTAATGTCATGTGGCATTCTCTGCCAGTAAACCCTGGCATATATATGTTTCTACAAAAAAATGTGTATAATAGTATATTCGTCCTGTACTTAAGTACCCACAGAAATGTCACATCTGAACATATTAATTTCATAATCTATATTCCCTGACACGAGATGGCGTCTTAGGAATAATTTTTCATTATTAATATATAATACTTTTTTATTGATTAAGTGTCTTATTAAGCGATGAAAAGTAATTCCTTGGTTTTTACTGACATTTCTTGAATTATTTGCACAATATCTAAGTACACATGACGGCATATTTTTATGAAGAGATTATTTTTAAATCAACACAACACGTGACAACTCTATAAGCGCCTAGCGAGCGACTGATTAAAGTGCGGTGTATGCACCGCAGTTGAGTGGAACACAGTAGCTGAATGCAGTGTCGCCTCTAGTACGCAGTACATAATAGCTTAATGGTTATTTATTAAGTTTGAAACGCATAATGCATATTAAAAAAAAAACAATTTATTAGACAACAGTCACGAACCACGAACAAGAGTGCTTAACGGGAGTATAAGTAATTTTAATAGTACTAATAATATATAAAAAATATTTAAAGAAATATATACCATAAATAATAAATGGCTATACTCAGGCATTTTTTTAAATTTGTCCTAAACCATAAATACTAGAAAGTGCAAAAACCCACTAACCATAGAAGACTTTTGCGTACTTCAATGTATTTGTAATAGTGGTGTTCTATTATTCATGGCAAAAGAAGAATAATAACGTTGATTTTACAAAAATATTTGTCTTCTCTTCTTATAATATTGTTAAATATCGACGAATCGGTACCGCAAGTATTTTTTTCAGGGGCTGCAAGTTTGAATCTCGCACCGAAATATTGTTTAAATGGCCGTCCATAATGGAAAAAATAAACAATAAATATAATTTAAGATGGAGGATTTTTTTTTATTTTAACCAACGACGTTATTTAAACTAGAATAATTACGTATATATGGGTTTTGACTATTGATATTAAGTAAAATTGAATTGCAGACAGTTGTGCAATGTGCGAGAAAAACAGAAATTGCTCTTTGGGCATATTTATTCTCCGCGGCCGGCAAGCCTAAGGAGCTGTTCCAAGAGTGCCTGCAGAGGAAGATGCTGGACACCGCCGCTTCGTACCTTATTATATTACAGGTGACTAAGTTATACCTCTTATTTATTTTTATATAAAATGATAATAAACAAATATTGTTATTATTGTGCTGCACGAATAACGGTATTTATTTCTATCTTAGAAAAGTATTTACCCAACTCAGATTATTGTAAATTATTCTGGACTATAAAAATAATACGCTTGAGTTTATTTGGGGCCATTCATTAATTATCTAAGAGTTCTGAGAGGTAGAGGAGGGGGGGGGGGTATATGGGGATTAAAATCTACATGCCCTTATCTTGGGGGATAAAACCTACTCTAACGTAATATTTTGTAAGTCGAAATTTAATATAAGAAATCTAGTTTCATTTCGGATGCCGAATGGTTTTCTATAGTCTTTAATGTACCATGCAATTTATATCTTATTTTACAAATTTTCATTGTTTATTAAAGTTTTAAAATTTTAAATGTATTTTGTTATATCCATTATAAATCCATTATAAATGTTATGAATAATAATTGTAGGACATTATTACCGCATGTTATCTTATTTTAATAATAAAAAACGATTCTTTTATAGCATTGAGTAATTATATATATTTTTTAATTCAATAATAATTCTGGTCGCAATTGCGCATTATCTAGCTAATCCTTTTCTAAGAAAATTTTGTTATTCTGAATAAAAATCAACGAAATGCGAGTCGGACTCGTGCATAGAATAATTTTTTATTCTATATAGAACATGTAGTTCTTATTGAAAATCATTTTTTACTTTACCACTGGTTAAGAAAAAAATCTCTGGACTTACTTTACCACCGGTTGGGAAAAAAAAGTCCTGAGAAGAACCAGCAACAATCCCAGCGGGACTTTTTTTAAAATAAATTTTACAATGTTAATGGTTACAAAATATTTACAACATTTATTTTAGAAACAGCTTGGAAGCGACCACCTCTTTCCCAGGGGTTATTATCAACCATGTATTCATTTATATTATAATGACCCTTTTTATACAGTTTTTGTTGCATAAAATATTTATACTTTGTGATAGAGAGACGTATATTTTCTGGGACTTTGTTGTGATAGCGTATACATTGCCCCAAGAATAAATTACCGACTCTGTGGAGTCGAGAAACTGGTACACTAGCTTGTGTTTGTTCCTAATGTTTACAGAGTGTATATCACTTTTTTTTTAATTAAAACTACCTTTGTTTTTGTGAACATACATTAAATTTTCGTTAATATACTGAGAGGTCAAAGTTAATATACTTAATTATTTAAATATTTCTCTAAGCGAGTCTCTCGGTTTTAGGTTATAAATAGCTCTTATGGCCCTCTTCTGCAAAATAAAAATAGTTTCTAAATCAGGCGCATTTCTCCATAGCAAATTCCCATAAGACATTACGCTATCTGTCTGTATATGTCTGATGTCTGTCTCGATACTAGTGAGGTCTATTATCTTTTCTACAGCATAAGCTGCCGAGCTTAGTCTGCTTGCTAGTTTAGATATATGGGAGACCCACTGAAACTTTGCGTCGAGAGTGATACCAAGAAAAACAGAGGATTCAACAGGGCTTAGTTCTTCCCCATTTAACACACATTGGTACTCAGATTTTTAACATTCGTTGTTGTAAGTTTAATACATTTAGTTTTATTGCCGTTTAAATGTAGATTATTAATGTTTAACCAATGCACTAATTTTGATATATTATTATTCACTTCGTCACATTTAAATGATTGACGTTTAAGTTTATTGTCTATCTATCCCCTACACGGGAAGGTAAGTCATTTTAATATACACTAAAAATAGGAATGGGCCAAGAATTGAGCCCTGAGGGGCACCCTTTTACACTCATAATCTTCTGCATTCCATTACTTAAATATGAAATAATAAGTTTAAACGCTGTGTTCTTAACACCATAGTAACTGTAGCTGTAATGTTAAAGGTTCCGTACAATCGTATAAACACGTTTCTCGTAGAAGAGCCCTCTTTAATTTTTATTTTTATTATTGTTTGTTATAGTTGTCTACCTATTACGGATCATGAGATACGGCCCGCTGACATACATACGGACGGACGGACTGACAGACAGCGGAGGCTTAGTAACGGGGTCAATTTCGTTACCCTTTGGGTACGGAACCCTAAAAACGAGGTAGAATCTTACGTAAGAAGAAAGGGTTTAGGAGGGGGGGGGGGATTAAAAGTCGCTAAAATCATCCTTACGGGAATAATTAATGGCTCCTTATGTATTATATAAATTACTTATTTATATAAAATTGAAAAAATAATGTAATAATTATTGTATTTATCAATAAAATATAATTGTAATATTGTATATTTTGATTTATTAATATTTATAACAAAATAAACTTAATAACTGAATTGTCATACATTGCTATTCCCCGTGGTATGGTGTCAAGAACAGCTGGCTAGCTGAGTTTCCACTTTGAATATACTTAGCCTTCGGGCGAAGAAAGAAATAACTTTCATATCGAGGATACAGTTCCTTTAGAAACTTCAACACCCACGGGCTAATAAATGGTATTGATAAAATGAATAAATGAAAACTAAATTTTACAATTTGTTATTGTAACAGATATTGAAAATATAGGCTTGCCCCACCTAACCAAAAGCCACCCTAGACGTTGTCATCTATATTTTTTAACAAGTAACAAACTTGTTAAAAAACTTTCTTGTTTTTCTCAATTCGATTTCTTATACATTTTTTTATATTTATTTACTTGTTCTGCTGTCATCGAGACGTTGTTTTATTGAGTTGCGTTGTCATTCCTAAGAAATAAAATGGAATATCTGGAATACCTCGATACCAATAAAATGGGCATTATACTGGTATTTTGTGTGAGCGGACCCATCCCCGGTTTAGCAGACCCATTCGTGTTCTTCTTTATCACTAAAATTGTGCGACTAAAGCATAATTATAACCTATAAATGTGTATGTACATTGATAATTACTAAATTTGTATAATTTTTACACTCAGAACCTGGAGAGTTCGACAGTCAGCAGGCAGCTCGCGACACAATTACTGGACACGGCGCTGCAACAGGAGAGATGGGATCTAGCTAGAGATCTAGTGCGCTTCTTGAGAGCTATAGGTATTGCTTTAATTGGAGACATTAATTTTTATAGGGCTGTTAGTGTAAACACCGTTATTCTTGAAACCAGTGGTTTGGTTTCACTTATAGAACATAAATTCAATGAAAAATAACAACATTTTTTTTTAGATGAAATCTCAATTTTTCCTTAATTCCTCAATTTTTGCCTGTCCTAAGCCAGGATGAAAGTATGAAGGAAAAGTTACATCACAGGTTATGTGTACCTATTGTGTTTTTGTTGGAATGTTGTGTAGGTAGCTAGCGCGGGCGGTGATCTTTACAGTGATTACGTCACTCGGGCGCATAGGGTATCCATGAATTTACAGACGGTGTCGCACAGACACTTAAAATTTTATGAAAGAAACTAAGGTTCTTTTTTAAATTCATTGAATTTACATTCTGTAAGTGAAACCAAACCACTGGTTTTAAGGATCACGGTGTTTACACTAACAGCCTGTATTGTTATTACGTCATGGATTAAATTTAAAAATGAATGAAACTTTCAGATTAGCTCATAAGGTTTTTACTGAACATGTGTTGTTCAATAGTTGATACGAAAATACAAATACTACACAAATACAGTATTAACTCAAAATAATTTTAGATAGAATTAACACAATCACACAGTCTACACTTGATGCTAAATGGATGCTGCGGCTCAATCACATCTTAATACATTTACTCCTGAGGAATACTAGTATAGAGTGCTTTATTTCTAGTTTATAGAGTCTCTCGTGCTCTACGCCAATATAATATAGGTGCAACGTAATCCTAGCGCGTACAAATATCAAGTAGTGTCCCCTGAGCATGAATTTTCTAAAGTTTTCAATTTCTTCGAGTTAATTTGTAGGACAAAACATAGTTTCATTTACGCCCGCTGTTCATATTTGTATACATTTTTAAAACTTTAGTGTCAAAAACTGTAGCGCTAAGGCCGACTTGTAAATGAAAAAATGGGAAACCGGTCCCAATTCTGCCATAATAGGTGCCATAATAGGTACTTGTATAAAAATAATTAGGAGTCACTGGGAACTGTCGACAGAAGTGAAAACTTAAGACTATGAAATAACAGTGGAATTTTTTTGGGATTTTCGAATTAATTATAGTATCAAAATTTTAAGTTCCAGAATTAATAAAGTATAATCTGTACCTTTACTGCTGTCTGTGTTACAGTGTCTGCTACTATAGATATACTGCAATCGCAGCGTGTTGGTGACGCGAATTCATAAAGTTTGTACTCTACCAAAAATCACCCAACGCGCCATAGGAAGTGCACTACAAAATAATTTTGAAATATTCTTTGTTTATTATGGTATACGGTTCTTTATCAACATAGTTATAAGTAATTACTATGTAATCTATTTTTTATTTTTTCCACAGATCCAAATGACGTCGATTCGCCGCGGAACTCTGTGAATGTTCAAGCGAAATACGGACAGATCGTGCAGCCGCAACCTAACGCTGAGGACCTGTCTGTTATACTTGGCAGTATGCAGGTGTGTACTCATTCTAAATAAAGATGAATTGAAAAAAAAATACATTTCGCCATTTATTAAATCTTTGGAATCTTTCCGAGTAGGTTTGTATTGGGTATTTTATGAATATGCGGTGTCTATACACATTGAAACTAAGGCCATAATATTCTATCTAGATTACTTTTATTTATATGCCAGACATTTTTCTGACTTGATGCAAATTAATGCATTATAATTGTAATGTTATAATATATTTCAGTTTTGTCATTCATATTGAAGAACGCTGCTGCGTACTGTTGTAAGATATTTATTACCAGGCAAAGCACTATTTCATCTCTATTAATCCGCAACACATTCACTGCTTGACACGGATCTCGTTTCTCTTCCACTCGATTTGCCTCAATCGCCACGCTTTGCGGATGGATTAGCGATTGCAGTACTAAATATACAGCTGGAAATAGAAAACTGCATTTTCATAGATGAGGAACGTAATATTAAACTGTTAGTGATTTCTTATATTTACGCGAACACTACACATTGATTAAAACTACTTTTACGGATATTATCGCGTTTATTTTACTTATAATTACTTTTGTTTTTAATTCCCGACGTTTCGGGCGCTTTCCAGCACCCATGGACCAGTCCCCCGTGACCATACACCTTAGCGTGACGGTCACGAGAGTTCAGTGCTTTTATCCCACCCCAGAAGTGCCCAACGTGCCTAAAGAAGTTTGCACTTTAATAACATTAAATTGTCACATCCAAAGAAAATTTGTATTACGGTGGATCAAGATCGTTTAGTCGCCATATTCGCAATATCATGGTGCGAGCGAGTGAACGTAAAAATATCTAAATAAGCGTAACTTCGAATTGTAAGAGCCCTCTTAAAGATAGAAAAAACACATTTGAGAAAATAAAACTGAAAGAAAAAACACAAGGCGTACGTGTTTTGTTCGTGTACGGTGTAGTAGTGAGTAAGGCGTGTATGCGTGTGTGCGTGCAGCTGGCGGGCGCGCGCGGGCGCAGCTTCAGCACGACGGCGGCGCCGCGCGAGCCGTCACCGCCCGCCGCCGCGACTGCGCCGCCGCCCGCCCGCCGCACCGCCGCCGTCAAGCGCAAGAAGTCCGTGCCCGCGCGCGCAGACAGGTACTCGCTCTCTCTCTCTCTCTCTCTCTCTCTCTCTCTTTACTTATTTCTTTATTTTAGTAATAGTAAAAAATCTATTTTTGTATTAGGTATTTATTCTGTATCATGTAGGCGTCTTTATAATTAAAATTCCAGTTTGAGTCTGTTCGTAATTGTGTTTTAGATAAAATTTGCTAGGGAAAACTTCCAACTATTAAAAATTAGAAAGACTTTGATACAGCTCTGTAAATCTGGGTTGTTTGTTGGTGGGTCTCCCTGCCGGGTGGGCGGGGGTTGGTTTTACGTGTTGGTTTGTTTTGTTTTGTTTTTTGTTTGTTTTCTTTCCCCCACCCACCCCCCGCGCTGGTGGGGGGGTGTGTAAAAAAAAAAAAAGTTGACATAATCTGCCTGATAAAGACCTGAAACACATGGTGAGACAGGTTATACGCATTAATAAAGCCAAACGAAGTTCTCGAATAACTAATACTAAATTAATGAAATTAGCTAGTGGCCCATCCAAGTTGACATAACTATTTTTTTACCATAAAAATTCCGCAAAAGCTTCAAGTATAAAAAAACCATGCAATGGGAAATTGCAGGGTTTTACTTTCGGTCAAGCTAAAACAAAATATTTTGTTGTATTGTAATTTTCTAACAGACTATTTTACATAATGATGCCGTATGAGTTCACTTGAGTGAAAATTATTTTAATTATGCGCCTAAAGTCGGACATATTTAGCAGGTCTGAAAATAAACAACGTAAAGCCATCAATTTTTTATATTTATTTCACAATAGTTTTTCAATATTTAATTTGATATTTAACGGTATAAAATAAGCTATATAGGTTTATCGTATAACGCTGTCATCAAAAAAACATATCATAATAATTAATATGCCTAGTAAAAAGGAAATAAATTGATCGAGCAAGTAGATGAGTTTGTATATTTAAATTGCGTATTTACCAGGGATTGGAGATATGATAAGGATATACAACGACGAGTGAACGCGGGAAATAGAGTACCTAAATTGGGCACTACACTCCATTGTGAAAAGTCAGAATGTGTCAAAAAAGGCGCGTATGACAATTCACAATGCTGTATTAGTCCCTACTTTAACGTATGGTAGTGAAAGTTTGGTGTGGCAGAAGAAGCACGAAGAAGTAGAATAAATGCAGTAGAAATGCGGTCGCTAAGGAGTATGTTATGGCTGAATCTGAGTGACAGGGTGAGAAACTGTGTGATAAAAGAAGAGTGTGGTTTGCAAGGTGATGCGGTGACCAGGATTAAGAAAGGAATACTTTAGTGGATTGGTCATGTAGAGAGAATGAATGAGGAGGAAAGACTGACAAAGCAAATATATGTTGCAGAAGTGAATGGAAGAGTCGGAAAAGGAAATCCTAGGCGAAAGTTTGTCGACTGAATTGGCGATATATTAAAAATGGGCCAAATTAAGAGTACCCTTAACCGACGAGCATGTATGCTTAGGTATATGGATGTGGAGGAGGCGAGAGAGGTATGGCAGGATAGTGCTAAATAGAAGTCTGTAGTCTCTGCCTACCACTCTGGGTGACAGGCGTGAGTGTATATGTATGTATATGTATGCCTAATAATTATGTCATACATCATAATATTGTAATACATGCAGTTGAACCGCTTCCAGTACAGTCAAGAAACCGGTTTGTTCTCGGTCTAATAACAGCATTTCCATACCTGGTATTGTCATGTTTACTACTATACAGGCTGCTCATATTATATTATTGTTACGGCCCTCAATTACCCCGACCCCGAAAGTCAACTGGATTAGGGCCCATAGTAATTCAACTCGACGAGTAACCGAGGGGATGGCCCTAGGGCCTATGGATAATTAAATTATAACGGCTAGATACGCAAACACAAAACTTACCGAATTCCAGAAGTAGGGTCTACCAGAAGGTGGCGTCAGGGGCAAGTAAATGGTAGTGTGTGTGTGTAGTGTAGAAAGGTGTGTCATGTAACCTGACGTCACCGATACAATCAGATAGCAGCACCACGTGCGTTGACCGCTCCACAAGACGCTCATCGCTATCGGAACTCAAGTCCAGCGTCACTTAGCACGAACTATATTCGCGCGCGATTTACACCCGGATCACAAAGTTCAGCGCTCCACACGAAAGCAAAATTTCTTCGTACACTAACTAATTTATTTTAACTTTAATTAACTACACAAGCCAATCGTCGACACAAATTAATAGCAGTCGAAGTTAAAATAGTTCATCAAAACTCAAAAGCCTCGTTTTCACGTATATTATTAACGACCGAATACAACAACATGGAGGCCGTCTATATTCGACGCAACGACTATTATGTAACGCCCGACGTCTAACCGGCACGGCCGTAGCTCTCAAAAGATTCCTGCCGACTGCTTCGCTGGCAACGCCGTACGCGCATAGCAAGCGCCCCCTTCCCGCGGAACGCTAACCGTTCCCCGCTCGGAACCAGCGCCTTGCAATTGTGCGTAAACAAACCCCCGTCCCGGACATAAGGACCTATGTCCGCGAGTAAATTGGCAAGCGGGATAGGATCGCGACGGCAGTTGAGACGAATTTCGATAGGACCCTGAGCGTTAGTTTGAGGAGAGTTTTTAACGCTGCTGCGATGTAGGTAAGCCAGAGACCATCGGTGCCAAAAACTTTGAGTCCTTTGTTGCAGCAGGTCAAATCTGCTCAACCGCGAAGAGTTTGTTTCCCTGAAGGGGTACTCAGGCAGGGCGTTAAGTGGCTGGCCAATCAAGAAGTGGCCCGGGGTTAGAACCTCCCAATCATTCAGATCGGACGAGAGGGGACAGAGGGGCCGAGAGTTGAGCGCCGCCTCAATTTTACAGAATACAGTGGTTAGCTCCTCAAATGTCAAAATAGCCTCGCCAATAACACGACGGAAATGCGCTCTTGCAACCTCAACCACCGCTTCAACATGGGCAAGCCGGAGGGTCGAATTTCCACAGGATAAATTTCCCGGACATCACAGCAGCCAAATAAGTCCTGTTGCTGGACAGAAATTCGACGACCTTCTTCAAATATCTATCCGTGCCCCTACGGATTGTAGGGGCACGGTTCCGCAATCCGACCGGATCCGTTCCGGCAAACCGCGACGCGATACGAAACGGCCCAGCGTGGCCACAAAGGCTTCAGTGCTGAGGGCACTTACAAGTTCTAAGTGAACGGACTTAGTGGCGAGGCACATGAAAACGCACAGATAGGCCATTTGTGAACGCGCGTTACGTAGGTTGGAGGACTTGACGAGGAAGGGGCCAGCAAAGGCGGTTCGGACTCCAGCGAATTGTCGGATGGCCCTGACGCGGTCGGGTGGTAAATCACTATCGGCGATATGGTGGCCTTCAATTTATAACAAGGTAGCACTTAAAAATGAGGCCAGCCAAAATCCAAAACTCCCGCTGCAAAATAGCCGAAGCACAAAATAAAAGCACAAGAAAAAAAACACAAGAACAAAACAAAAAACAAAGGGAACATTTTAAGAGCTACATCGTAAAAATGTAAAAGGTCACAAACTCTGGTAGTAAGCTCAACTAACAATTTTTCAACATATAACAGCTTCTATGTGTGTTCCCGGCGTCACCGGTTCTACAACAAAGTAAGGCTGGCAACCATTCTATTGTGTATTATTATTAACTTCCCAGTAATCGGCACATTGTAGTGCGCCGTGAAGATAGCCCGGGTAAAGGGGTGTACCCCAAGGTCCGAGACCTGCTGGGCAGAAAGACACGCAGAAGACGACACGACGAACTTTCCAGTGAGAAGTTATTGTAACGGGTCCGATTTTGCAAATTGGAAATTTTAACGTACCTCCACGTTTCAAGGTCTTTAGAGTCGAATAGTATGGGTTTTAAGAGGATGTCCGTGTGTGCACATGTACGTATGTATGTATGTTCAGATTCAATTTTCACGTTTCAAGTGTATCTCGAGAACAAACAGTGATATTGACATGGGACCAGTTTCAATTAACGCATAATTATGTAACTTAGACCTCATTAAATTTTGAGAAAAATCGGTCAAGTCGTATTTTGTGCCGAATGAAAAATTGTATAAAATATTAAAACATATGATATTTTTTATTCTTTACACTGGGAAGTTAGTCCTGTGGACCTTTCGGGTCGCAACTATACCGCTTTTTTATTGTATATATTCTATGTTAGGTAATTTACAATACTATTTTTATTTTATTTTACGATACTTATTATACTTAAGAAGTAATTCTTTAATATATTTTTGATGTTGTCTTAATTATTTTGTGTTTTTGTGCAGTGGAAAAGTATTTATGATATTGGGAATCATGTATTCTAGTGTTCGTTTTCCACATAGATTTTTGTATGTTGATAAGGCTAAGTTTGGTGTCTTTAACTTTGAGCTTCCAAATAGATTATAAAAAAGTAATTCTCTATCACCTGATTTCTTGTTTAATAAGCCTTTTAAGTCAACGGCTGAACTTAGGGGACTTAGGCCTTTTTATATAAAAATGGAGTCCTTGCAGGACAAAAGATATTCGACAACAAAACTTTGCCTTTAAATGTCGTCCAGAGCGAAAAACTATATATATTTAAAATGACAAATTGTTTCGTTCTTTGTTTTGATAATAATAAATTCATTATAAGTTATCACATTCAAATTTCAGAGAGTCGTACAGCGGCACGGCAGAGGAGTTCTTTATCGATATGATGATCCAACGTCACGCTCGCCTGCTGTTGTCCACCGCGAGACTGATGGCGCTGGGCAAGCTGGCGGCGGCGTTGGATCTGCACCTCGTAGCCTGGTTGGCGGGCGAGAGGGAGAGGGCCGCGAGGGTGGACAATGCCGTGCTGTGCCTGAAGCGACTGCACGAGGATTTCGCCTGGCCCTACCCTGTGCTACAGCAGGGAGAGGAGCACTACATACAGCGAAAGGCTAGTGTTGTGCCAAGTACGTGAAACCTGTTATATTGCCTTATCTTTATATCGTTTCAATAGGAATATTGACATATATTGATATTTCTAATATTTTTATTTCATCATGGAGGTATTGAATAAATATTTAAATTTGCCATGAACAAAGCTCTCTTATATTTATATTTGTACCTATTATATATATACGTTGTAGTCACGCTACAGCTGTATTCTGGCTGAACGTATGGATTGAGCTAACCGGATAATACTTCTATCGGATGATAAGTACGTGCTTTAGCCCATAGACAATTATATCTCTCCTCGATTGGGATTTAAAATGCAGTTGCGTTGTCACCCCCTGAAAACTAAGTTTCAATGCCTGGTTACATGTAAAAATGTTTTTCACAATAACACAGCATTATGCCGCTATTTCACGCCGATCGAGCTGACCCATTCGCGTTGCAACTAAACCTTAATACGCGACAGTGCCGATAACTAAGTGTAGGTGTAAGAATATTCACTACCCGATATGGTCCCGTGAGTGTCGTAAATATCTGCAACCGGAATATGTGCAAGCAGTATCTTTCTAATAACAAGTTAAAATAATACAAAATTACCGTTGCCAACCCCCTTGCCACGTGAGGCATCTGTAGCAAAATCCCGTCTTTGAGGTAATTCATGGGGGAGGACTAAGTTCAGCAGTAGACTTTTATAGGTTGTATTGAATGAATGGATGTGAATAGTCATTTCGTTACCCGGACAGGTGGATACTCGGTAGCGGGCGAGGGGGACAGCCTGTGCGGCGACAGCGGCTACGTGAGCCTGTCCTTGCGCGCCGCGCTGCCCCTCGCGCCCGCCTCGCCCGACCAGCCCCGTCCGCCGGCACCACCCAGGTACTGTCCGTTACACTCAAAAATGTATTTACCTTACTCTCTTACTGTAACATTTATTGTATGTTTACAAAAACAAAAGTTATTACACACTGCTATTGACGCTTAATGTAATTACACGTAGTAACGCAAAACAACTTAGGATTAATGATTTCAAAAGGAAGAATAGGCCCATCTAAATATTTTACTCATAACTTTTTCATACAAGAAAAAGTAGCACATCTGTCATAATACAAACATCATATCATAACACGACGTAACCAGGGTCAGATTTCGTATTACAATTATTATCCCAATTGTACCATTATTTCATAGTTTGTAATATGTAGTATCATACGACGATGTCGACTTGTATTATCATTGGGTCCTTTTACTTTTTAATATAAACCCTAAGATAAGGAGAATTTCTGTATTGTACATGAGTACAGCTTTTTTTAAATAAAATTAGAACTAACCCCGTTTCTGGTCAAACGGTGCTCGATCGATGCATTTATGTTGCATCCTTGATACAACTATAATGAGGGGCTACCACGATAAAAACTCTAAGCTCTAAGCAATCGATTTGAAAACAGAATTTCAAAATATTTTATGAATCAAATTTTCAGATTCAATTATGCAGATATGGTTTCTTTTGTACTTTTTTCATTTTACCCTTATTGAATATTAAATATATTAGGTATCAATATTCAAAATTTAACTTACACTAAGTTCTTTAGATAAAAATTAAACAGAAATAAAGATAAAACCAGTTTAAAACGTAACGTATAGATAAACTAGACGCGTGACGCCAAAATCCTGGCACATGGGAAAAAAGAAACATGAAACGTCAAACGTGATATAATTTTTTGAAAAATAGTATAAGTACCTAATTTTATTTTCCATGTACAATATTTTTGAGGGTCTGAATCTAACCCTGGCCTAATCTTGATAACGTAACTAAACTAACTGTAAAATAAAACTTAAAAAACGCGTTTATATAATAATTTAATATTAACAAAATGAATATAAGGTTATTTTACCGATGATACGATACTCCATGTTCCTATTTAATCTTTGTATCGTAAATTTTGCACCCTTTTACCACGCAGCTAGACATATTTATGACAGGCAAATCTGTCTTGCGCGCGCACCTCTCTATGGTGTTCGGTGCCCGGTCTTACGCTAGTAATATATCATAAGTCAATGCTTAGAATATGTTCTTACAAAAGATAAAAGAAACTAACAAAATCTCAGTCAATAAAGAGAAAGAAAGTGGTTATCACTAAATGCTGATACTTTATATTTATATAATTTATATTTTATATATTTTATATTTATAATTATTTTAATAAAAAAAGTTTCATCCGTAAAAAACTTCTTTTACAAGACAACAAAATGCCAATATGTAGTGTAGTGCTCCCACGTTAATATACTTTAGTGTTAAGGTAGAATAATGAGGCAGTCTAATTAAAGTTTTAGTACCAACCACACGTCTCCTTCATTGACACCTTTCCTATATTACATGGCGACCCTGCCAGGCGGTGCGCTGCAACAATGCATGGTAAAAGGTGGGAAGAAAAAAAATTACTTAATTAAATAATGAAGATAAAAAAATTATATACGGAATGGATGCAATACCGGATTTGACAATAATAAATAAGCCGCCGTGACTGAAATTCGGTCTGGAGGATATTACATTTTTTTTGGATAGGGTGAAGAGCAAAGTCCACTGATGGTAAGTGAGCCCTTCTTCTTTTCATTACAAATTGTTTTTGTTTTCTTATCTAGTAAACATTACGTCAAGGCACTCGGACCACGCTTAGCCCAAAAATATAGGTATAAATGAAAATTTGTGAAACAAGTGATAGGTGGAAAGCCCATTGGACACGCAATCACAATTCAATAACGTGCTAGATATTCGTTCCACGATTGAAAAGGGAAAGAAGTAGTTGTATTCTAGCGGGCATCACCCAGAAGGATGTGAAAATTGAGCCGAAAAGAATAAAGAAGAATTTGAGAGGTATGTGTGTCCATTTAAAACTTTAATAATTTGAGATTTTTTAATGTTGTTTTTGCTTTTAAAAAAAAGTTAGGAATAAAATTTTCTGTATTTAAAATATGATTAAATTGAAAGTATTTATCAGATAATTCACGATTTAATTTTTTTTAAATATTTATATTACTGAAAAAATAAGCACGATGCAATAATTATAAATTAATCAATAATCTAGCACTTGATTTTATATTCAATTTTATTCAGTTATAGTTTTATATTATTTTTATTACTGTGTCCTGCAAAACATGAATGAAATAATATGAAGATTACATTTTTACGTATTTACATTTACAATTGTTTATCATTAATTAATTTTTCATATTTTGTAGTTACATATCACTGATGATACATTTCGTGTGTGTTTTTTATACAGTAAATTTTATTTAAATGTACACAATTTTGAAAAGAGTTATAACCGATTTGCTATTATTGTTTTTTTTTCTTTTCTAAAGGCATTAAATCATTAATTTATATAATAACCTACCTAAAATATTAAAAATTGTTCTTTATAATGTTTAAATAAATTAATCTATCGTTGTGTGAAGTTTATAGCTGTTATAGTGATTTTTTTAAAAAAGCTTTTTTTATAGCTAAAGTATTTTTTTTTAAAAAGCTAATGCATTTTGTGATGTATGTAAAAGTAACATAAATATTAACAATGTAACTATTTCTAAGCTTCTGTGTAAATTAAGGAAATGTTTAAAACTATCCTTTTAAGGTACATTTTACTTGCATTCATATTATAAAATATTGTAAAAGTTATCTTGAAATTAGGCGTGAATCACACCGTGTCATCCTAGTCCGATGTAATTACAAACGATGCCTTATACGTACTTTGGAATTTAAAACAAACTTGTCTCCAAATATTTGCGGTGTTAGGATTACAATTTGTATTTTGATCTGTTTGTTGCTATATTAATTATAATGACTACGTTGCTTAACATTGACTTCTTTGTTCTGTTTATCTTAATGTGAAATGTAATAATTTATTTTTGTTTTATATTGTTTGAATATTTAAATCCTACGCTTTTAACTATTATAATTTATTATTTTCTTGGAAAACAGTACTAATTTGAGTATATTCGAAAGTATTTTCTTCGGATAATACGATTTTGAAACTCACTACATATATAATGTTTTACACAACTAATTGATTTAAAGTTTGTTGTTCCCATATTGTGAACCTCAATCACTGACTGACACTGTAACTAAATATTATACGAGATTATTTTATGATATAAAGTAAAAGATGTGATTAAATGTATGGTTAAGTTACGGAATACATAATTATAAATGAAAATATTGATAATGTATAGTTGCGAGAGTAAGATAAAGAAAATTATCGGAGGTTAGTACATCCACATACAATCAGCCTGATCAGCTGAGAGTTTGGAAAACCTAATAGCCGATTAATTTTTAAGGTTGTTCGGTGACGATTAAATGCGGAATAAGTTAATGTATTTTAATGAGGGAAAGGATAATTTATTATGAATTGTATAGGAATATTGTCCACTATCTTGATCATGTATGTACGCGAGCCGTGTACGTGAAAGAAATGACATACATGTGTAATGAATAGCTAAAGTACTAGGTATGGATAAAAATGGAAAATAAATAATGGTTAACTAAGAATGAAGTAAATACATGACAAAAAAAGAATAAAATAAAATATTGAAATGTAATAGAACATGAAGATTAAGAGAATTTTATTAAAATCGGTTGAGTAGTTTAGGAGCCCATCACGGACAAACTACGTGACGCGTAATTTATATATATATTATCATTATTGTCCTGACTAGATAAATGGTAGGCATAATAACAAAATGATTAAGGATACGAATAAATAATATTGTAAATTTTCGTGAAAATCAAAACATAATTTTATGTTACACATAATTATGCCTGATTATGTCAATTATACTACTACTACTGTGACTATGCATTTTTGCGTGCTAGATATGTCTTAGATTATAGTTTTCATAATGATATTAACCTTTTTTAGAATAATCTTAAGGATCTATTTTAAGAATTGATAAAAAATATATAGATAGCATATTTTTTGTTCTTTTGTCGGTGGGAGGTGTAGTGTAGTGCTTAATATACTTTAGTGTTAAGGTAGAATAATGAGGCAGTCTAATTAAAGTTTTAGTACCAACCACACCTCTCCTTCATTGACACCTTTCCTATATTAAAAATATGTCCAATTGTCAGTTAATGGTATTCTTATTTTGCGTGTAAAGTGGTGCAATAAGTTTTGATAGAGTTTGTGTGCGTGCAGTTCGGCGGGCGAGTGCAGCGTGGCGGAGGGCGGGTGCGCGGCGTGGGGCGGCGTGGGGGAGGCGGCGGGTGGGGCGGGGGAGGAGCGGCGCTACGCCGCGCTCATGGAGCGCCTGCCCCTGCACCAGGCCGAGCGCGGCGACCACACCTCGCACGTGCGCTTGCGGTAACTACTGCACTCTATTTTATACGCTTTCTTCATGACGATTCAAATCTCGCTTGGAGCTTCATGACTTTCTTCCATTACAACAGTTACCTACCTACCTACATTACGGATGACGTCGATTATGAAAGTCGTCTTTTACTTGTACCACACGTCCATTGGTGAAGATTCATGCTAATTAATAAATCTTGATACATCTTGATATATTTCTTCAAAATTATCCAATCGAATGTCAATAAAAACACTCCAGATACTTCTTACAACTGATGACTGAAGCGAGCTGCGTTGAATGGGCGCTGGTGGTGGCGGTAGCGCTGCGGGACGCGCTTGCCGTGCTGCGGACCACAAACGCGGCACGCGGACACGACGTGAGCCTGGGAGCCGTGCGGAGACTGCGCGCCGCCGTCCTGCAGCTGTGCGCCTGGAGCGATGCCGAGTGGTACGTGTGTGTGCAGCCTGCGCGCTGCAGCTGTGCGCCTGGAGCGATGCCGAGTGGTACGTGTGTGTGCAGCCTGCGCGCTGCAGCTGTGCGCCTGGAGCGATGCCGAGTGGTACGTGTGTGTGCAGCCTGCGCGCTGCAGCTGTGCGCCTGGAGCGATGCCGAGTGGTACGTGTGTGTGCAGCCTGCGCGCTGCAGCTGTGCGCCTGGAGCGATGCCGAGTGGTACGTGTGTGTGCAGCCTGCGCGCTGCAGCTCTGCGCGTGGAGCGATGCCGAGTGGTACGTGTGTGTGCAGCCTGCGCGCTGCAGCTGTGCGCCTGGAGCGATGCCGAGTGGTACGTGTGTGGGCAGCCTGCGCACTGCAGCTGTGCGCCTAGAGCGATGCCGAGTGGTACGTGTGTGTGCAGCCTGCGCGCTGCAGCTGTGCGCCTGGAGCGATGCCGAGTGGTACGTGTGCGGGCAGCCTGCGCGCTGCAGCTGTGCGCCTGGAGCGATGCAGAGTGGTACGTGTGTGTGCAGCCTGCGCGCTGCAGCTGTGCGCGTGGAGCGATGCCGAGTGGTACGTGTGTGTGCAGCCTGCGCGCTGCAGCTGTGCGCCTGGAGCGATGCCGAGTGGTACGTGTGTGTGCAGCCTGCGCGCTGCAGCTGTGCGCCTGGAGCGATGCCGAGTGGTACGTGTGTGTGCAGCCTGCGCGCTGCAGTTGTGCGCGTGGAGCGATGCCGAGTGGTACGTGTGTGGGCAGCCTGCGCGCTGCAGCTGTGCGCCTGGAGCGATGCCGAGTGGTACGTGTGTGTGTAGCCTGCGCGCTGCAGCTGTGCGCGTGGAGCGATGCCGAGTGGTACGTGTGTGTGCAGCCTGCGCGCTGCAGCTGTGCGCGTGGAGCGATGCCGAGTGGTACGGGTGTGTGTAGCCTGCGCGCTGCAGCTGTGCGCGTGGAGCGATGCCGAGTGGTACGTGTGTGTGTAGCCTGCGCGCTGCAGCTGTGCGCGTGGAGCGATGCCGAGTGGTACGTGTGTGTGTAGCCTGCGCGCTGCAGCTGTGCGCGTGGAGCGATGCCGAGTGGTACGGGTGTGTGCAGCCTGCGCGCTGCAGCTGTGCGCGTGGAGCGTTGCCGAGTGGTACGTGTGTGTGTAGCCTGCGCGCTGCAGCTGTGCGCCTGGAGCGATGCCGAGTGGTACGTGTGTGTGCAGCCTGCGCGCTGCAGTTGTGCGCGTGGAGCGATGCCGAGTGGTACGGGTGTGTGCAGCCTGCGCGCTGCAGCTGTGCGCGTGGAGCGATGCCGAGTGGTACGTGTGTGTGCAGCCTGCGCGCTGCAGCTGTGCGCGTGGAGCGATGCCGAGTGGTACGTGTGTGTGCAGCCTGCGCGCTGCAGCTGTGCGCGTGGAGCGATGCCGAGTGGTACGGGTGTGTGTAGCCTGCGCGCTGCAGCTGTGCGCGTGGAGCGATGCCGAGTGGTACGGGTGTGTGTAGCCTGCGCGCTGCAGCTGTGCGCGTGGAGCGATGCCGAGTGGTACGTGTGTGGGCAGCCTGCGCGCTGCAGCTGTGCGCGTGGAGCGATGCCGAGTGGTACGTGTGTGTGTAGCCTGCGCGCTGCAGCTGTGCGCGTGGAGCGATGCCGAGTGGTACGGGTGCGGGCAGCCTGCGCGCTGCAGTTGTACGCGTGGAGCGATGCCGAGTGATTGTCATGAAGCGAAATGGAAAGCAGCCCAGATTGTCAATGACGTTATAAAAGCAACAAACACTTCACACCTCGGGAATTTTGAAATGAAGGTTAACTTTACGCGATAAGGTGACATAAATAGAGCCAACAAAAACTAGCAACTTCTGTTTTTACACAAATGTTGACACCAGCTGGGATTAGGATTTCAAGGCCAGGCATTCTAACATTATAGAAAACGTCTAGTTAACGTTATAATTACCCAGTTGGTGTATAGTCTACCAACTGATATTAACATTCTAAACAATATGACCAAGCTCAACATATTATATTGTTTTGTTTCAGTCTTGGTTATAAGCCGTTTATGATGGCGATTAGCAATCAAGTTCCATTCCTGACGTCAATCATTAATACAAGGGAACGTCGAGTTTCCATGGTTAAAAACAGAGTTCGGACCCCAAGCACAGGGTCTTTGAATTTGGATATTAAACCACAGGTAAATTATTATTTTACATTTAATATTCAGGTAGAGTTATATTTCGAACCACTTATAAAAAATGAGTTTTAATAATTATTATTTAATAATCTATATTGATTTTTTAATTACATTTAGATACAAATTACATACTGATGAATATTTTTTGATGTTATTGACATAATAGAAAAAACTGAACTGGTTATATGAATAAAAAATCATGAGTGCAATTAGTTTAATTAAAATTTTCGTATTTTTAAACAATACTAAAAAAAGGGGCTCGAAATAATAGATTTTCTCACAAAAGAAGGGAACTTGAAAAAAAAAAGGAAAAAAGCCGGACCGAAGACAGGACGCGAACCGAGGCATTACGATTTCGCGACCGCTCGATATCCACTTGAGCTATTACAATCATTAACACAGTGTTAAAATTTACATTATGCATATGTTGTTAATTATAGTTAGTTATATTAGTAGTTATATTAGTAGTTTGTTCAGAATTGTTTACTGAATCGATTCCTATCATTTTTAATATAGGTAATTTTTTATCCCAAAAATAATTAAAACTACGTAAATTACAGTCACACTAAAACTGTATAGTTAAAACAAACTGAAATGGACCGTAACTTAAGGCAATAAGACTTTTAAGAGTGCAGTTTTATTTGTATTATGACTAATTCTGTCATTCAATAAAAATAAAGAAAAATGAACTATATTTCAAGCACGTTAAAGTCTTTGCGTTCGTGGATTTGTACTGTGACGACAACATTCTTCCGGAATTAGTATAACTAATAAATAATCGGTGCATTAAAATGTATAACTAAAAATTCCGTGTATGTATGTCTCATGGTGTGCGTTAATTACGTTACATATTGTATATATATATATATATATATTTTACATGTCCGTGTTTTCAGGAGTCCGTGTTTGGAAAGGAGAGAAAGGAATTTAATGATACAATTCCAGTGTAAAAGGTTATGTTTCATTATCGGCCATACATTATAGGCCTGCCCCATAAATTATTCACTATAGTTGTAGTAGTTCTTATGACATCCGCGGGATGATATGGAGTAGTGTATTCTCTTGCACTGTCATTACACGGTGGGTTGTTGTATATTATAATGGTATATATTATATTACTCGATCAGTCGCCAAATGAGAAATCAATAGTGAAGGCAGACCGGGTGATAGTTATTTTAATTATAAAATAAAACTTGCAGCAAACGGTGGTGGAGAGCAAGGTGGGTGCGGCGCAGAAGGTGGCGCAGAAGGCGGAGGGGTCTCCGGGGGTGCACGCGGCGTCGGGCGACGTGCCGCCCCCCGCGCCCGCGTCGCCACCCCCCGCCGCGCCGGCCCCGTCCGCCTGCGCGCTCATGTAGCCGCCGCACTCACTTCGACACGCTACGTCTATCTCCTGCTGGGTTATACACAAGTACGGTTGGGGCTTTAGTGACTACTTTACGCCTCATTTCATAAATAACGACTTCATTATCTTACACTTGTGACATTTTCCTCACATTGTATTTCCGTCAGACGACAAACTGCTATTTATAAACACATGTTTTTCAACCGTAGCTAATCTGAATCATGGCCTATAAATTAACCGAGTAATAAGTTGAATGATATAGTCCGAAAGGACCTATATCCATCTTATTACCATACCTGTTTCTATTGTCTTTGATGGAAAGAATATCAGAAAAGAAAAAACTATTTAGAATGAAGCCATGATTGAGTATTAATAATCAACTTCTACACTGACCAATTTGTACAACTATAAGTGATTTTTTTATTATTATTATTACTAATGAGATTTTCTTGTTGAAAAGGATGATTACAGCTGTCAAATATTTTATACACAATCTTAGTTCGATTAAAAATGTATAATATAATTTAAAATAAATTTGCGTATTTTAATAAATTTCGAATGAATATAAATGAAGTAAATTTATGAGCTTTGAAACATCTTTTTAATTAATGTATTTCGACATAACCCAATCTTACGCATTAATTTCATTGTAGTTTATGGAGTCGGGTTTAGTTCATGGAGCATTTCCCGAGCAGAGCCAGATTATACCCTCGTTGCTAAATGCAAGCCTCAGAGCCCATCTCCGCTTTTCTGTAAAACTAAAGTTTCGCTCTCTCACTAATTTAAAATTGTTTGTTTACAAGTTTGCTCTAGATTAATTTGTCAATATTCCTGAAATTAAATTATTCATGGAAACTTTACTTGCATGAGTTATATAAACTAACTCTAAACTTTGTTACTTAGAAGTCCGGATGTTTTTAAACCAGCTTGTGCTCTGTTCTCACAAAAACAGATGCTGTTTTAATTGCAATAAACTCAGTCCTCATAACATTTATTCGTTTAATTGTTATCTTTTCTTCTAGTCTTTATCATTGTTTTTATTCATTTAAAGAAAGCCATTTACTTATGATCCGTTATTTTTATAGTGTTATTAATGAATTAATGATTTACTAATTACAAGTCACTTTTAGACGATTCAATTATGATTTCAATTATGAGCACGTAATGCGTAATTTATTGATTATGAATAAAATTAATATAATGAAAGTGTGTCTTCCTAGATGATATTTGACTATATTTGAATTTAAATTACATTGTATGTTTAACTTATGAATTATTGTGTAAGAAATAGATTTGTAAGCTATTTAATATATTTGTGAATTAATTACAATATATAGCAAATGAATATACTTTAGCCATTAAAAAATTTATACCTTGTAATACATTTTTTTAAATATTCTTATTTAACAAACTAATTACAAAATTAAATGATTATTTGTGCGGGATGGGAATCCGAGATTTTATAAATCTATAATAGTTGATTCTATTATACATCTATGGGAAAAATGTTGGTTTGATGGCCCTTTTAAGATTAGTAATTTTATGTTGCTCAAGTAATAATCCCATTTTTAATTTGGTATTTCTAACACACTGATATTGATTTTAGTACTTATTTTCTTTATTTTTCCGATGGTACATTTTATACTATCTTAATTCCATCAGACCCACCTCAATGTAATATATCAAAAACCCAGACAATTAATTTTTTTACCTGGTAATATATGGTGCAATGCGATCAAGATAAGGATAAAATAAAAAGTCAGTGACCTCGACCTGTCAGCTGTTACTGCCACAAATCTGTCATTTTGAAAGTACAGCTTGCAAAGAAAATAATTTTGCATATATATCTTTTTAGGATGACAAAATATATGAAGGATTAATTGGTTTTAAACATTTTGCACAAAAATAAAAACTGGCAGTTAGATATTTGAAGATAATGGAAATTTAAGTTTTTATTATAAAAAAACATAGGTAATAACAATAAGACAGCATTATTTTTCTTCTTAAACAATAGAACCCAGGTTACGGAAAACTAATAATTTTTAGCGTTTAGCTCCTGAGCTAAAAAATAATTGTTTTCTAATAATATATGTTTTGCTCATGCATATTTACAGCAAAGACGTCTCGAAAGATTCTTACCTTTGATTGCATCTTATATTTTCATCCTCTGTTTTTGAAAGCGTTTCGGAGTATATTTGAAAATGTAATAAAATTTTAATTAAATCAAAAGTAACAAATTTGTCAATACAGGTATAAGTTTAAGTATAATATTATAATAAGTACAATATAAGTTTTTAATTTTTTTTATTTTGTTTGTTAAAAATATCAATAGTATAGATCGACGGTCGCCTGATTTGGTTTTTGTTTTTCACTTATTTACTGTCTTTACTTCAATTAAACTTATACCGTGTTATTACAAAAAGTAATTACAAAAACAACTTTGTAGTGTCAGGTTTAAACTAGATCTGCTCAATAAAGAAGTCTCGTGGATAATATGCGAACTGATATATACTTTTACTATACGTCAACGAGTCCTACGGAGCTGTGAGAACCGCATAGGCTAGCAGCATTAACATCATCGAAACCAGACTATACGTCAAATTTCACAAATATCTCGCTAACGGGGCGTGGTTAAGAGATTTCTTTCGTGACAAAGACTCTTTTCTAAGCCGGAGACTATCAATAATTGTTATTCGCTAATGTTTCTATTTAGCCACATTTGCCATAAGTAAACATCAGAATACAAGCTGTTCTACTAAAGTCAATATAATTCCGACGCAACAAAAAATATTTTTACATTCATGCCATAACTGAAAAATATTGAATAATTAATATTGATTTTTTGCATTTTAGGTTAATATTTATTAGTACAAAAAATAAGGCACTTTACTCTTAAATATTTTCCCGGTATTACCAAATTCTGTAGTTAAAACATTTGAAAAGGATACAAAAAAGTATTAATTGATTTATAAAATTACAGCCTATATAAGTCTCACTGTTGGGTACAGGTCTCCCCTCACTTCCGAGAGGGTTTTTAAGACCGCGCTGCCCTAATGTGTGCTGGCAAACTTCACATGTCTTCGAAATATTTGTTTTCTTATTTCTCAGACATGCAGGGTTCCTCACGATGTTTTTCTTCACACAAATCAGCACTTAAAATTGCAATTAACAATTTCATTAGTGCTGGCGGATATCGAATCCGGTTTGCTCATGTACTGTGAAATTTACAGTAAATGCTAACCATCTGAAAGACCACGGCATTAAGTGATTTATAATAATTAAATTATTTTTATTTAATTTGGTTTACCGACAAATGTTACTCTCATACTTATGCTAAGTGTTACGAACAGTTGTTACTACTTTATAGAAGTCATAAATAATTTAAGGGTAAAGTGTTTGTAATATACTATTGTGTCCATATCAAATATTATAATGTATTATACTGCAAAATTTTAATTTAAAAATGGGTATTTCAAGCAATATTTTGTATAATTCTTGTGAAATATCTAAGAAAATATGAAGTCACGCTAATAATTTAAATACTTATCGGTGACATTCATTTTATAATATTTTAATTTGTAATTTTAAAATAAATAATTTATGATATTATTTTATTTTGTCAATATACAATTGTATAATATAATAGGGAAATTTTTAAAGTAAGTATATATAATTCTCATTTATAAGAAAACTAAACCTAGCGATGTATATGTAACACGAATAATTAGTAACATTCCAAAAATATGGTGTTTATAATTTTTATTGCAATAAATTTATTGTAAGTATAATATTTCCTAGTATTTAGTAACAGAGTTTGCGAAGTCTAAATCCATATCATATTAATATTCATATTGTAAATGTCTATTAGGTCATTTAATTAATCTTAATATTATTTAAATAACATGTTAGTGAATGATGTTAACTTAGTGATCGCAAACTTCTGTTGTACATTGTGTGGTTAATTAAAGTTGTGAATAATGTCAATATAAATCAACTACCTTAAACCGTCATAAAACTCAAGCCGGTGCTAAATATATAGTAAACATAAGACAAATAAAATTAGCTTTCATTCAGAACCTTTTTTTAGCTATAGGTAAATTTAATTACAAGGAATGTATGAATAGGAGTTTCACATGTATTTTTAATATTAAATTATCAAGGGATTGTATATTTATAACATCGTATGGTTTGCTGCGGTTTTATTAAATATTGTTACTTTAATTTGAATCGTGTAAAACGTAAAGAACTTTATAAAAATGTATAGTTCACGAATTTGATATCTTACTGTATATATGCGTTGAAAAACAAAATTATTCTATTATATTTATTTCATAAATTTCTGAATATGCGATGACTAAAATTGTTTCTATAATGTCGCCGTATTTTTTATGCAGGAAACTTTAATTGATGTTTCGATTTTGAATTCCTTGTGGGTGTCGTACTAACGGATTTTTGGTATGTTAAATTTGATTTAAGTTAACTATAGTCTTTGCGTTCTAGCATGATGCGGGTGACAGCTTATAGTTTGGCATGTCTAGAGATGGAACAATGTTAAATCGATTTACAAAAAGCAATTAACGATACACCAAGCGAAGCAAAAATTATTATCGATTAGCTTTATGATTAACATATATTTCTTTATAAACTACAATGGGCAATCGGTATAGTATCGGAGTGCAACGTCGCGCTTGGGACGTGCTGAGAGGAACCAACTTATTTTAGCCAGCTTGGTTAACTGGCTTCCCCCGAGGTGTGCTGACCCCTCGTGTGGTAGCTCAGTGGTTAACGCTCGCTGTAAATATAACAGAACGCGAGTAACCCGGGTTCGACCCCGCCGGCACCAATGAAATTGTTAATTGCAATTTTAAGTGCTGATTTACCACGTGCTCGGCGGTGAAGGAAAACATCGTGAGGAAACCTGCATGTCTGAGGAATAAGAAAAAAAATATTTCGGAGACATGTGAAGTTCGTCAACACGCATTGTGCGCAGCGCGGCGGACACTTCCTTGCCCT